ATATAGAGCAATTGCAGCCTATGCAGTGGAATCAAGGACAGAGCAATGAAAAATTTCCAAAGGAAAAGAGGTGGTTGGTATACATTTCTGTTTCTCTGCTTCTGCAAAAATAAAGTTTTTGAGAATAAGTTCCAAATATGTGGTTACCAAAGGTTTTGATTAACTGTCAAAACTGTTAGAATCCAAAAATATTGTACTGGGAATTAAAGTTAGAATAAAGCTGTTAAATATTTTCTCTCCCTTTTAACATTTGTCCTGGGAACAAAACTTAAGAAGGATATCTATGCAGTCTACTAAAAGTTGTACTGGACCGTCTAGTTCATGAAGGGTATTCTAATTACAGTAGAAACAACCAGAAACTGTAGTTTTTATGAGTACTATTTGATTGACCTGCATGAGAAATTGGATATGCAATTTTGTAGGAGGTAGATTATGAGTCCAAAAAAGATAATAAAAGTACCTAGCAGCAGTTTTGGCTGCTTGGACATGAGCCAGCTGTACTCTATTCCTAAATCTGTTCAGGGTCAAGAATCGAGGGGGCTTGACCAATCCACAGCCCATCTTGTAAAACTACAGCCTGAAGCAAACACTTTAAAGAAGGCTTGACACTTTCTAAAGGTTACAATGAGTAAATAAACCATCAAATTACTCCTCTTTTATTGTTATGGTAGTCTTTTTTATAAAAACACTTAAATCCATGTAGTCCTAAGGCATCTAATAAAAAATGAACACGTTTAAGGTTTTGTGGGTTTTTTGATACCTCATCAAAGTTATATACAATATTATTCTCCTAAGTATAACAAAAATCATTGTCTTATTACACAGCTGGAGAAACTTTTTTTAAAAAAAAAAGTACTTCACACAAGTTTTAAAAGCATTTGATTCAAAATGGGTAAACTATAAATGTCCTTTGAAAGAAGTAAAAATGATGGATAAGGCTTATAATTGTTAGCGACTTCACATGAGAACATTTTTGTCATGTAATTGTCATTCTCAGCTTAGAGTATTTATGATGTTTATTTTTTTCAACAGTAGTTACATATATACATATTTTTGATAGCTTCCAGATTTTCCTTTATAATTTGGGAGTAAGTTGGAGGAGTATTGTTCACTTAGAACTTTGGTTCTTCTCTTTAATATTCAAAGCAAAGGGCTCGCTTAAAATGAAATTTAATGCCGTTTTCAAACTTGTATTATTGTATGTATTTAGTTAAATGTAAAGTGCTCAGTATGGATGTGGGAGTTAACAATTATAAATGTCTTAAAATTTAACATGCTGTTTCTTAGAACAATTGTAAAATTTTAAACCAAATGTCAGCACAAAAATATACTTCTGTGAGTATTTTCTTTTCAGTGTCCTCATTAGGATTTAAAATACTTATGCATTTTAAAATTGAAATGGTGTATGTGCTTGATTACAGTCTGCCAGTTCCATTGTTTAGAAAATCTTTTTGTTGTTTTGTACTAAAGTTACTTCTTTTTTACATACACCAAGGGCTTAGTTTCCTTTAGGTAACTCTTTAGTTTCAGTAAGGCCAGTCTATTTGAATTGCAGTTTTCTTTGTCTAGAATTTGTAATGCTAGTATTTGCTACGTTGCTCCCCTTTAAAATATTACATTCTTTTCCCTTTATTTCATGGTAAGTTTAATATGGATAGATACTTGTTGATCTCCAACAACCGTTGCAATCAGTGATATATTTGCCATAAATTTTAGTGAGGTCAGAATCGCAATATGTATGTTAAGCATTTTATCTCTGTTACCCCTTTACCTTCATAGCTGTATATTTTTTCTGATGCTAGTTGCAGTTTGAAGTTTGTTTTGTAAATGCTCTACACCCAAGCTTTCGGCTTGTAATAAATACACCAAACTAGATGAGTTCACAAAGAAAAGGAGAGACAGTTATATGCAGAGAAGCTAAAGAAATGCAGTAATCGGTGTGATTAGTTTGCATGTTTTCAAAATATATACTTGAAAAATTAGATAGCATGTTATGGAAAAGCATATTAGGACTCAATTGTGCGTGCACTTCAGGTATTCTGAGGGCAGTTTTACTGTCCATGATGTTGATCTAAGTCCATGCTAGATCTCCTGCAGCAACATGTTCCCGTTGTTTCTGTTGCACTGGTACAGATTCTTGGATTCCCCAAGGCTAGCTCTGATCTATGGGATAACTGGCCACCTCCTTCTCCCTGTTTAGTTGTGCACTGAATCAAAATTCTGTTTTTCTCTGAAATACCCTTACATATCCTTGTGCCTGCACAGCAGAGTGGTAGAAATACGTAGTCTGGAGTTAGGGAGGAATACAACTGCAGTGCATTTTGATTAGTTTAAGAATAATTTACATGGCATGTTTAGGGTCAGATCCTTACTTCTTACAATTTTGAACAAGGCTTTTGCTAATAATATATCATTTTAATAGCATTTGTTGCTTAATGACATAAATTGCTTAAGATTACACTTCTATAAGAAGCTGTAAATCAACCTCATTTTTTTTTTTGTCACTCCAGGGAACTGAGAGGGATGTGTTTTCTTTCAGTGCTTATAGATTAGTATCAGAACACAAATTCATTGCATCTCCAAAGTACTATTTGTTAAGGCAGATCCAGGAAGCATTGATAATCTTTTCAATTCTCTTAATTTTTATTTTTCTTTTTACTATAACACATATGAAAACTTTAGGTCTCTTCTACACCTATATTCTACTGGTAAGTATCAGAGAAGCAAAAGCTAAAGAACTTTTCTCTAGTTCTCTGTGAGCCAAATTTTAATTTTAAATGTATGTTCAGTATTTTATATGTAAAATTCATGTGAGTGAGGCATATTTTTAGATCCCGCAAGTAACTCTTGAAATCCTTAGGAGTCGCCTCCTGTGGAGAGAAGTGTGTGTTATTTCTATCCACACATGTGCCTGTAAACTGCCTGTTAATCAAGGAAGTCAGTTTTGACCCTAAAACCCATAAAAGTTGTCAATGTCAAAAACCTATTTTAAATCACCTGGGGACATATTTTGCCGTTTTATTTCTATTGATAGTACAGTGAGACTATGGATCAAACATTATACTAAGTGAGAAAGGGTTGCAAAATCTTCTTTAAAACGGTTTTGCACAAATTCTTGAAGTATTGTAAATATCCTTGTATCAAAAACTTGGAACTTTCAGTTGTACTGGGTTTAGGAAAGAACTACATTTCTTAAAGATGCAGCATACTTTATTCTTTGTAGCCAAAACATTTTTATTGTCTGCTTCACTGTGGAAGGAGGAAGAACCTCAGTTTACTCTTTCACTGTTTCAAAAAATTTATTACTTCATCCAGAGGTGATTCCTCATCCCAGTAAGTAATAGTCATTCATGCTATTGCAATTCAGTAGGGTTTTACTTAAAAGCCAATATCAAGAGAATAATCTTTTTGCGGCCTGCTTTTGATTTTTTTACTAGAGAGATCCATAAATGGCTTTTTTGAATTGTCACTGTTTCCCTAAAGATTATAGCCACTTCTTTTGCGGTAGTGCCTATTTTTCGCTCAATTTAGAATGCAGGTTTTATACTGGAGTGGGGAAGTTGAAATCAAAAATCATAAAGGTGCACATAATATATCAAAATACAGTATTTCAGAGAGCACAGTTCAAGTATTGGGAGTATTCTCTCACCCTCACACAGTCAGTTTGGCCCTTGTTGGAGTGTGTCCAAGACAAGACCTCAATGAATGTTACTAGTGCACCAATTCATCAGAGAGAAGTCAGTCTTACCTTAATGTGGTCACTTTTTCAAGGTGATCATCAGTGTGCAGAGAAAAGGCAGGAAATCAGCCTTTTGAAGCTCAGAGCAACACATTAGTGTTGCTCTCTGGGTCTTTAAAAGGATATTAATTATTTTGACTGTATGCAATAACAGGACAGCGGTGAATTGCTTATGATATGCATCAAAAGCCTAAATACTGTTCTTGCAAGAAGTCATGACTGTTTGATAGGGGAACCTGTTATTCTTCCTTTTTTGACTGTTGTATTTGTAAAGGAAGGCCAGTGCTCATAAAAATTTAACTCAAAAGGGAAGCTGATTCCAGTTAGGAAAAATTGACTTTAATACTAGAATGTTTCAGGAAAATTCCCATAAATTTTTAGCTGCTGTGATTATCAGCAGATAAGGCTTATTTATTATCACAATAATGGTTTGATTCTTGACAAAGTGCTTCTGCAAGAAGAGGAGATGTGACACACTTTCCTGTAAACTAGTATAGCTTCTGGACTGTGAAGGAAACTTCAGACTTTAGTAATGTTGTTCTCAGATTTTCTGGTAGCTCATCTTATCAAAAATATGTGTTGATTATCCATGACTTTCATTTAACTGTCAGGAGGCTTCTTTGCACAGAAAGTTATGATAAATATTTCACTTTTTCCATAATAACAGAAGTAATTGCTGACACAAACTTTTCACTTGTTCCAGGAGATGTCAAAAAGAATGAAGATTCAAGTGCTTTGAGTTGGATAATTGAGATGTCTCAAAGATTCTGACTCATTAACCATGATTATCTGTATCATTGACTAACAGTTGGTTCTTGAAGCACTTACTGCAGCTTGCTGAATTTCTCTTCATCTCAGTATCTTGACTCAGTTCATCAGAATATTCCATCATTTTTCAACTGTGAAGTCATCTGGTTTATTCCCTTTGAGTCTGGTTTTGTTGTAAGATGCAGAAGAGAGTATGTGTGAAGAGGGAACAGTTCCTGCTAATCGACAGTGCTATAGTCCTAGCTCCTACTCTTCTGCTATGCGTCTCAATCTAAGTTATTTATTCTGCAAATTTTCTGACCAAAACAACTGAATTTATCTGGTATTTTACCACATCCAGAGGTCTTTTGTTTCCCTTTTTGCTGTGTAGTGTGTAGGCACATACTGTTCTATGTACTGGACTGTAAATGAAGAGTATGAATACACAGCTTATGTTGGTGTTTGATTTGCAGGTACTGTCTTATGTAAATTTGTTTGTTTGTTTTTTAACTAGGAAACAGAGATTAATTATGAAGATCAAATAAGTAAAATTGTTGTAGAGAAGCAGGAACTTGAATGGCAAAAGGTAACTTTCCTATATGGTTTTAGTGTTTTAACTGTTGGGATTTAATATTAATATAATATTAATAAGGATTGTGATTTGGTACAATTCCCCTCTTTAAGGCTATTGTAATTTCTAATAGTAGAATGTGGTAGCCAATAGTTTATTGTCTAGCCATGGACTTCTGTAGCTTTTATATTGATTTGGATTGTGCCCAACCTAGAAATCGGATTAACAAAAGAGTACTATCATAATATTTGACATGACTGGAAATCTTCAGTCAAAAGGGAAGTAAATACTGAAGCAATAAGACATTTAGCTTAACATGAGGCATGTTGACACGTTAGTGTGGGGGAAGCTACACAGCAGCTTCTCTGTATTATGCTTGGCTTTGGCAAGTGCAAGTACCATTGCAGTTGTACAGACAACTTCACTTGCAATGTTTTGAAGGTAACAATTTTTCAAAAAAATTATTTTAAACAGAAACTTACATGTCAGACATAGCCAAAAGTGGTTTGTCAGCTTTTAAACGCTCAGAATGAAGTTTTCGGTAAAATAAGTCTAACATTCTTCTTAGGGTTAGGGCTCCTGAGGTTATGCTTTCATAGGAAATCCATTCCCTTCTGTAATACAATCAAACCTATGACCCCTGTCACTAGGTCACAAGATAAAAGGCTTCACTCTGTATATTTTACGATCACAGAAAAAACAATTTCAGCTCTATCCTTGATCTTGGGATATTTAACTTCTTAGTAGTAAAGGAAGACTATTTCATCTTGGAGTTCATCCTAACCATCTTAAATTAATAATCCTAACTATGTGCTTTTTCTTCTGAAAGATATATATGTGCACACAGAAACAGGAAATATTTTATATTTGTAAAAGCAACAGTGCTTTCAATTTGTAACCCTTCGTTGCTTTTCTTAACCTAGCATTGCAGTTCTTAATAATCTGGGTTCAAAAGGGGTGATTTCCATTCTTTCTGAGACCCTAACAACAACTTAATTTACCATTAATAAAAAGATGGGACTTAGAGGCGGTTAGGTGGACTCTCTTTTTTTCTGCACTTTGCATTTAACATTGGCACATGGCAAACCTAATGTAAACAATGAGTTGTAGATTTTAGGAACTTCATGTGAGCCCTTATGTAGAGCTCTGGAACTTCTAAGGAACAAGCTAATATGAGTCTCCAATTCTGGAGATTCCAGTAAGATGAAAATGCTAAGTATGCCATTTAAATTCGATTTGTGACGTGATTGTTTCTGAATGCAGAACTGTATTGACCTCAATAGTAGTTCAGTATGTAGACAGCTTCCCCTGGCTTATCAAAGGTTCTGTTGTATTCTTTCCTTCAGAGATACCCCTTTCAGTCAACATTTCTGTGATTTAGTATATGTTTTACTTTGCCTTAAGTTTAGCAAACTAGTTTAAAATAAAGACATGACTTGAGCTAAGTTTCTGATTGAATATTACAATTTTAAAGCAAATCTTTGTCTATTTTTTATGAATACTATTGCTGCTCTTGGAAGAAAATATACTAGGGTAGGAAAAAAAGAATAACTGGAGAAAATATTTGTTTAAATCTAATGACTATACTTACTATACTTACTATAGCATCATAATACCAAAAGTGATTTTGCATATATTTTTAAAAAGTAACTTTGTTCTTCGAAGTTAGTCCCTGCACCACACATACACAGCATGCATGGAAAATTTATTCCAAAACTGAATTTCTGACAAAACTATATATAATCATTTTATTTATAGTCTAGGCTGTGAGGCTTCTTAGGAAGTGCATATTTGTAGAAACTTCCTAGTCTGTTTTAGAGTAAAATACCTCCCTTGAATATACTTTACAAGGAAGACTGGTATATTATGAAGACCTCGGTAACGCTTTTTTCCAGTTATCAATTACCTTCATGACAAATTTGTAGAAAGGAACCCGAACATATCTACATAAATTATTATATAATATTGGCTTGAATTCCTATAATCTAAAGAAGTGTCATCTTAATTTGATACTACTGTGAATATTTTGTTCGTGTGGTGAGTAGGAATACTCCACTGAGAATAGTTGATTTGCTGTCACTGCAGTACTATTTCTGGCTCTCTAGCATACTTGGTATGCCCTTTACCCACCAGAGAACCTGTGTCTTTGAACGCAGTTCTAAGTGACAACTTGAGGAAAACATTCCTCAAGACTTGTTTTCACATTTTTGAATATTCATTCATGTAGTATGTATTGTTTGTTAGATGCAAATCAAAACTTTCTGTACCTATCTTACAATGAATTAATGAGCATGTACATGAATATAAAACACCTTATCTCCACAGATTCTTGTCTTGTATCAAAGGGCAACAACTCTCACTTGTGCAACTTGAAAGCAACACCAATTTGCTGGAGAAAGTAACAATTTTGGAACAGACTTTGTCTGAAAAACTCTCAGTTTCTCAATTAAGGCAGGAGAAGAAGTTGGACTTCTCATGTGTGAAACAAATGATCAGTTTATTTCTCCCAGTCATTCTTTTTAATAGTCTCTATTTATATTTATTTTTCTGCATTCATTACTAAATCATTTCTTACTTCATACTAATATTTCTTAGCTAAACACTCATCTGTATTTTGAGATAGCTGTCCAAGGACAGAGCCTCTTGACTACCTTTACCTACTATTTTTCAGTGTCTAGAACTTAAAAAAACCTGATCTTACAAACATATCTTCCATATTGCTTTACGTTGATTGAGGGGTTTTTTTTCCTATCTTGTATAGAATGTGATGCTTAAAGATGTTACAGATTTTCAACTTGCAGAGTGTAGTATTAGTCTATGAGATTATGATATGAAATAATAACAAAAAAATTACATCTTTACTAATTTCTTGGTTTATGGATGACAGTAAAGCCAGGCAGTAGGATGATAAAAATCTTACACTATTACCTTACGCTTAGTCTTTTCTGCCCTCCTTCAGCTCTTTCATGTAGTTTGTTAAATGATTAAAATTTGACTAAAACCGGAATAACATCTTGTTATTTTTAATGAGATTATGTTTTTAATGGAGAGTAAAATAAAAATTCTATTATAACCACCTGGAACTGTGTCAAGATGCTGTCCTAAGATGGCAATGGGTGTTGGATTTCTTCTGCAGGTTGATAGGATGGGTAAGAGTTGCTTATAGAAGTCCTAACAACAAAAAAATCTGAATTCCAGGTGTGAGAATTGTTACCTGTTATGAATTAAAGAGAATCCACTACCAAGAAGAGGATTACCAATTAACAAATATCTCTTTTTAGTCTTCAGATTTTGTTTTTAATCAACCATGTCTTTCTAAAAATATTTAACAAGGAATCAGTTTTTTTTCGTGAAATACTATATGTATGGTTTGCTCTAAGATAATATTTAAAATACACTGTTGCTATTTTGCATGAGCAGGAAACTCTGCAGCATCAGACAGACACGTTGCACCAACAAAACAAAGAAGCTATGGCAGCTTTTAAAAAACAGGTAGCAAAATAAGGCCTTCTAGCTTTGACAATGAGATTTTAAAGTACTATGGCATAATAGCAAGTTATCAGTTGGTATTAAAATATTTTTCTGTTGCATATAAAATGTTAGAATATACAGCTCAAAGAAAGCAGGTCTTTTTCTTTCTTCCAGACACAGTATAATGCCTGTATTTTGACAGTTCTTCCCAGTAAGCCACTCTTCCTGGGATTCTTCATTTTTTATTTTTCCAAAAATTTCTAGAGAAGACAATGCTTCTTTTAGTCTTTTGTTGTTGTTTTGGTTTTGTTTGTTTGTTTGTTTTTCCCCCTCTCGCTGAGATGGTATGTTCTCTGCAAGGTTAGATTCATAAACCATGGTAAAAGATCTACCACATAACTTATTCTGTTCAACATTTGAAAGTGTGTTTCAGTCTTTCAGATTGGGGTTGTGGTTTTTTTTCTCCATGATATACAATCAACAAACATGAGGGCTGAAAGAACTTGCAGAGAATGGTCATTGGAACTGTTGCACATGATGATGAAGAGCTTATCACTAACGCCGCATCACAATCATATCACACAAAAAAGAAATTGACAAGCAATTAGGTTTTTCTTTCTCAAAAAAATGATTTGTGATTCACAAGCTTGCTGCTTGTGACTCTATAGTTACTATAGTTAAAGAAAAAAACCAGGAAGTACACTATACAGTATAATATAACTATATTGTCTTGTCAAATTGCATGAATAAAATTAATCCTGTGTTGTATTGATTTGTGTTTTCTTCTTTTGCTATGCCACTGACAATCAAGTTACAGGCAAGGATGTTTGCCATGGAAGAAGAAAAGGTACTCTGTTACAATTATTTGTCATCCAGTGAAGCACATAAACAAATGATAATGCCATATAACTTACTGAACATGTTCTAAGTATAAACTAAGTATATTACAATTAAATTATTTTTCTTGCTATGACCTTTGCAAAAGAAATTTCTTTATAACTTTTGTTACTTGTTTTTTTGATTTATAGTCTATAGAACTTTAATTACTTGTGAAATGTCGCTTCAAAATCTGCTTATATGAAAAATCAGTTGGAGAAAAAGTGTTCTTTATAGTTCTATATTGAAGCTATACAAAATTTACTTTATTTCGGGGGTTTGGGACAAATTGTCATAAGCCTTTTCCACATACTAGTGAAAAATAACAATTCTAACTGATTTAGTAAAACCAGATTTTGATAATGCTTTTATTGATTTACCTGAGCTGGTTTCTTGAGGAACTTGAGCTAAACTGAAGTAAGATATACTTATGCCTGAATTTATGGGATTTTTCTTAACTACGTGAGTTTTTATACCAAGCTGTCTGCCTGCTTCCTCTTCTAAATAAAGGATTTGCAATTGGTATACTAGGACCCTGTTTCAAACAGTGAAGTCAATGAATGTCTGCGTGTGTGGACTGTATTGTTTCACTTAAATTTCCCAATGATTAAGGGTGGATGAGTGTGTATGTGTTTCATAAGAACCTGCACAGAAATTTGCAAACAGGTGAAATTGGTTTGAAAGTATATCAAAGTAAACTTTGTTTCCTGCATTCATATTATCTGGTTGAGTTATATTCTTGCGTGTATTTGGAGTTTTTTCTTGTTAAGACATACTGTTTGTCCACACATACCTATGTAGTAATCCTTGATTTGTATTTTCAATGACACCTGCTGTTTCAGAATTAAATTATGTGCTGATTTTTTTTTTTTCTCTAAATACTTCTATTGAATCAAATGGTATTTTCAGTACTTTATACCAAAGTAACTGAAAGAATAAATTAAGCTGTAATGTTTCAGGACAGAGTTTGAATACAAAGACCAACTTTTGCTCCGATTTACATTATATGTACCTTTACTCATTAAGGTGGTTTCAGGAGACTGCCCAGCCAGCACTATCTTAGAAATGACTGGAACAAGCAGGGGTGGTTGAATTGATGTGTTTGTTTTCTCTGGCGTATTCTCTGATATCCGGATTCTGGTCTCCATTGTATTGATTGCTGCCCGAGATTCTTACCTGATTTAATTCTGCTCAAGTCCTTTGACTCTGTTCACATGCATATATATAATTGTGTATGTGTGTGTATATATATGTCTATATATATAAAAAAATCTAAAATGTGCTTGCATGTATTTAGTAATCCTAGTGATACCAGATCACAGTTCCATCTTTGTAGAATTGTTTCTGGAGGAAAGCTGTTTCTGTGAATACTCTGCTACAGCAGATAAGAAAATGGATTTACCTGATACTTTTGTTGTTATTTAGTATCTTTGTTCTAAACTGAAGTAACTTACTAATTCTGCCTTTGTCAGACTTGTCTCTCCCAGAACAGAAAATTAACTTACTAGTCGTAAGAGGTGTTTCCCCTTTTCTTTTTATAGCAATATGTAGGTACACTTTAAAATTATTTAGCTGAATTTTCACCTGTTTTCACTAATGAATTGTTCTGTCATAGCAGAGTAGTGCTTTATTTTTTTGTAACATTCTTTTTGGTAAATTCTTGTTGTAAATGCATTTATTCTGCCCAAATCCTGAAGTACAGCTTTTGTTGAAAGGGAAAATATCAGCTTGCTGTAGAAACAAAAGAAAAAGAAATCCATGGACTGAAAGAAGCATTAAAAGCATTACAGGTAAATTATTTTTGTTAAATAACTTTCCTTGGTATGCAAGTGTTTTGGTTTTAGTTTTTTTCACTGGTAAGAAAATAGTTGTTTTTAAGAGAGTCTTTAAGGCTTTCTCATTTAATCTTTCTAGTACATGTACGCCTCGCTTTCTAACACTGAGTTTCTGTTTTAGTCTTCAGTGTCAAGACAGCTTTGTTAGCCTTCCAGCTAAAGTTCTTTTCCTCCAGAAGAACTGCAGACTCAATAATAGTCCAAATAGCATGTGAAATGTGCTTTCTTTTAATTTCCATAGTGTTCCTCTTTCTATTCTTGTCGTCTTACTTCTCACCTGTCTGGAAACTCTAGTTTTGGACTCCTAAACAGAAACAAGTATTCACACTGGGCCTCCAACTCACAGTGCTACCCGTCTTGTTTATTATTTTCCTTTGTTTCACTAGGAGGTTTCTGTATTTACTGCTAAATCCATGGCTTTCCAATGCCTATTTGTCAGTAAAAGTAAAATTGTCAGATAAAAGCACAATTTACTCTGGTGCCTCTTGGTGTTATTTCTGTATTGTATTTTATATCATTACATGGTGTTGGAGCATTTGTGGCTGTGATTCACATTTATTTGAAATAAAGGAAGACATAGGGACATAGCTAGTAGTTGGTTTTCTTTTAAAGACCAAGGCAGATATGTTGAAAATGGATTAAAATAGCAGAACTAAACACAGAGAGAATTAGCATTGTAATACATTGCCAGATTTCAGGTATTGCCAGGAACTAATTATTCTTCTACCAAAACCTGAGTGGGATAGTAATTATTTTTATTGAAAACATGTTTGTAATGGATTATTACCCATGATTGTGCAACATGTTTAGTTCTTATTAACATTTTCTTGTAATGGGATGCCTTTACTTGGTATCAAACTGTTTGTTTAATCATTTAGTTAACACTGAAGGTATTTTAGGAGCAAAAGAAATTTATTCCCATGGCTGGCCTTCTGTGCAATAGCTGTAAGGGTTTTGTTGACTTGTTCAAACCTTGGCATAGCACAGATGATGTAGAATATTCCTCCATGGTCTGCTGAACACAATATGTGGACAGCAAGAGTAACAAAAGATTCCAGTGGCCTTTCTTTTGTAAGATAAAACAGAAATTTTGAAAAAAAGCTTAACATTAAATGTTTAATGTTCACAGATCAAACATTTGTGTAACAGTATAGTTCGGATCTAGGAAATTTTGAAGTGGCTTGAGGAAGCAGAAGATCACAACAAACCTGTGGACCCAGAAAAATTGTTTGGAGATCAGCCTAAAATAAGAGTGACGAATTTCTAATTCAGTTCTGTAGTCCTCTCTATCCAAAGAGTCAGAATTCCTTAAAATTATTGTTCTCTAGGCTTGAGGTTTTTTTCCTAGAAATAGTATTTTCTGTGTAAAATTTACACGCACTGGGTTCTTTGACATTTCTTTTTTTTTCTAGACATTGTCAATGTTTCTTTAAACATTCTAAGAGATACAGAGACTAAAGCTGTTGTGATCTCAAGTATTATGCAAGTCAAAATTCTCTGATGTCAATGGTATATGAAAAATAGTGTTAATGACTTCAAATGTCAGTCTTATATTACTGAAACATGCAAGATTGGTACAATATGTTTTTATATGCCACCATTCAGAATATCTACCTAGAATTTTTTTTTTCCAACAGGGAACACACCTATATTCCTCTAGGACTTGAGGAAATACGTTCATTGCTATCTCTGTTTTCTTCTCTGCTTATTTCTAAGAGTCTAGTTTACAGACTGTTGTCCATGTACACGTTATTTTTATGATACATGTCAGAAAACACAAGATTTATGCATTTTTCGAATCAGTGTAAAGCATTTTCACCTAATTTAAAAATTGAAGTGAAATTATGTAAAGTGAATCTAATAATAAAAGAAATAGTGCAGTCATTAATTCAAAACCAGTATTACTGTATTGGATTGGCAATAAATGCAATTAAATCTTAGGTATGAGAATACCTAAATATGCAGGTTGTCAGAAAAAATGTAACTACAATTTTATGAATACTTCTTTTTCATTTTACAGATTTCAAAATACACTTTACAAAAGAAACTGAATGAAATGGTAAGAAATTAATAAAAGTAAAAAGGTAAGGAACAACTTTGATGAAAAGAGAACGCCTGCTTAGAATATAATGCAAATATTAACCAAGTCTAATACTTAAATGATGTATGGTAATTATTACAGATAACCAAAAGAGGTGATAGCAGCTTTGTATTTGAAAGTTTTTCAGATTCAATGTTTTTCAGTTTTTATAGTGTGACAGCTGCTGTTTAGCATATGGAATTTTTTTCTCCCTGAATTAAAGTATAATTGTTACATTTGTTCTCTTTATAGATTAGAGTGAATTTTTTTATGTAGACTGTGATTTGAATAATGTAATTATATTACTCTTATATACTTTATAATATATACTTTTATAGGATCCAGCATGTTTGTTTCAAAGAAGTAATAGAGAATTCCAAGCAGTTCCTAGTTTTGTTTTTAAGCAAAACTGATAGTTTTTCCTCTCACTCTTTTTAACTCCTCTTCTCAGAATTACTTCTTAACGTCAGTTCCCTTGAACAGTTTAGCTTTCATCCAGTCCAGCTTACTCCCTTTGACACAGGGAATAAATTCATATAGAGTGACAGCATAGTCGCTCTGAACCCTGCTGTCTGTTTTAGGAAGTGGAAGAGTAAGCCTCAGAAACATTGCTAAGCTTGATTGAATAAATGCTGTGAAAATTCTGCTGCTGCTCAACTGGAAAGAATAAAGATAATATTGTCAGACCATTACAAACTGTGATTTTAATTAAGAAGCTCAAAAAACTAGGGTCCAGTTTAGCTTTAAGTACCATGACATTTGTACTGAAAGTCATCTTCAACGCTACAGTGGTTTTACACAAAATATGGTGAAATTGAATAATGTGCCCCTCTGACCTGGGAGATAAGGCTACAAGTTAAAGATCAAAGGCAACATAAAATGTGTTTTGTCTTACTTCACTTTTAACTTCTATTTATTCTTAAAATACATTTGACCTAAAAATGTGTTTAAAATATACCAAGTTATTGAACTGAGATTTAGGTCATTTCACATATTACCTTCCTTTCATAACTTGAAAGCTCAGTCTTCCATATGAATGAGAATATTTAAATCACAACACCTTTTCTATAAGCTGGAAAGGCATCTGTGCTGCTTAAAGAAATATCTTCCTTTCTTATGTTTATAAACTTTTCAATAATTCATTACTTGAAAATTTCAGAAACATTGGGGTACTGTGACTTTGATACAGAGCATGGTTATTAAAAATGCTATTGCGTAGGGGACAAGATATTAGAAATCCTCTTTTGCATGTAGCACTAAACATAACATGTATGGCTTGGCCATATTTATAGAAGATGCTCTGACATGAAATGGTGAAAACAAAAAGCACAAGGTAAACAGAAGCGAATTCTTTCCTACAACCTTATGCAGTAGTGGGCTAATCCAGTTTTAGACCAGGTCAAATTCTACCAGCTTTGCTCCCTGAGTAGTTACACTGAAATAAATTGTATATTCAAGGGATCAAAGTAGTAGTAGCCCATGTAGACTCTCTTAGTCAGTTATCACAAATGGCAAAATGCTTAAAAGTAAAATGGATGAAATTCCAAACTGTTCAGCTATCTAAGAGCCATTTCTATTTTAATTTTAAGTTTGTTAAAGACAGATTAGATCATGCTCTGGCTAGTGTTTTGAAAGTAAGCAGATGTGCTGTTTGGTTTCTATCTGGCACCTTAGAAAACCGGCCAGTCAAGTAGCTTTTGTATGTGCTAGGGATTGACCATGCATTACTGATGTAGCATTTTATTCTGGTTTTGTTCCTTTAATTCTGTTCTTTTAGTCTAGTATATGCAATGTTAATATTTTGCATATACACCATATTTTAGCATGCTACCAGTTAAGTTTATGTGAAAATTGTAGTGCTGATACAATTCTTATGCTAGAATCTTGAAATAATCAAAGGTTTTGTTTCATATTGAGACAAAGAAATAAAGGATTTATTTTTCTTCCATCTTTCCTTTGTTTCCACAATAAAAGTGTTGATTATTGTGTGCAGTGTAGTCACTTTGCACCTCACTGCATATGGATAATAGCACTCATGCAGTCAGGAGACTACAGGATGATTACTACAAAGCTAGTTGTTGTGATAGAATACGTTTGAGTGTGGGTTCTGTATTGTATTCTGTTTCTTGCTGCTGTAATAAAGAAATAACTGGAGGAAAATGGCCTTGGTCAGGTCTTGGTTTCCTCCTCCATTAATTTTCTGGCAGGTGATACCATGTAGAACACTAGAACTCTGAATGTAGCATCTGTTCATGTGTTCCCTTGTTAACTTGCATTGTCTGATCCTGGGCATGTCTGAGAGCGCGAGCATTTAGAGTTATTTGTCTTCTGTGGTACCTAAATCTTAACTATCTATCACGGTGCTAAAATGTTCAAACAAACAAACAAAAAAACGGGAATGAGATTCAGGCTAGTGTTGGCTGATTTAGAGACCAAATCTTGTGTGCAGTTCAGAAGAGCAAATTTGGAGGGCAGGATCTCTGTGTAGTCAATGGGAGATATCACTGTCTACAAAGTAGTGATTCAGTGCATCAGTATTAATTAGTAAAGTAGATGGGGTGACTACCTCTGTGAATGACTGGTAGTCTAGTTGCACTTGCTGGCTGTGTTTATATTGGTAAACTAAATGTTTGTGAGACCATTTAGTGAAGCTGCAGTCAAGTGATATGAAATGGTCTAGGTTCATTAAACTCTACTACTCCTCAAAAAAAGAGGGAAGCTGTATCTAAATAACCCCCATTGTTCCCAGCAGACAGTCTCCTGAACTGTGCCCAGGAACTGCTTACATGACTGCTACTTGGCATAGGCCAAAATGAGTCAGGGGTATTTTAACACTAGTTATAGGCATTTCCTGGGAGCTATCCTGTCACCATTTAGTTTTCTAATACAGATGTAGTTGGCAAATTAAAGAAAAATAATATATTACTGTAAAATGTATAAATAATAATGTAAATAAATGTAATTTTAAAAGTTGGTTTGTTCTTAATAATCTAAGATGGGAATTTTTTTTTATTTCCTTTCCACATTTTTTAGGAATTTGCCTGTAATTATACTATGTTGTTTAAAAATACAGTGAGAAGGCAGTGATACAGTATAAATAAAAATAATTATTTTTAAGTAGAAAAATGATGGGAACTAAAGGAACTATTATGGAAAAAAATTCATATTTTGAAGATTTACAATTGGTAACCCTTTGCATAATTTTCACATGATCTTGACTTAGGTCTCCATGCCATTACATCTCCTTTGTTTCTCTGACACTTTCACCTCCCAATTACCACCTTCTGCTTCACTGAGTAACTCTGACTAGTGACTCAATTTCCAGAATATCTTTGAGATATGAGCAATTCCCTCTTTGTCTTCCTTCAGTCACCTACCTGACCCTGAGCTATTTCTCTGGTCTAGTTCCACCAAGAAATCATTGTGCCTCAACGAACCATATGGCCACAATCAGTTCCACTCCCCATCCCAGCTTATCTTTATTACTGGTGGAGGGCAGGGCAATAATTCCTGTTCCTGCAGTGTCAGACGTTAGGAAGAAGAACCAAGATTCTGTGGGTCTTACTCCAACTCCAGGGTCATACCCTCCCTATCCTGCAGTGTCTCCTGGTGTTTCTTGTCTTCTACAGAAGAACGTTTTAGGACCTTTGCACTGTGAGCAGAAGAATCACATACTCAGGCTTTTATTTTATCATGCACTAAGTCTGGAGAGCAGCTTGCCATTAAAAATCATATTTAGGCAAGTGGTAAGCTCTTAATAAAACTCTTGAGGAATTGGCCAATTCCTCTTCTCATTGGAAATAGCCCTGGGAAATAACAAAGTGTATTTCTACTTTTCTGGTGAGGAGGAAGGACTGCTACTGTCTTGCTGACTTAACAAAGAAACTAGGAGAACACTAAGAAAAATCCATAGAAAAGGAAGTGCAAAAAACTTCAGATCTTGCCACAAGCTGTTCGAGTCTCAAATTAGCAATGCCTCCCTGTTTATCGATTTCTTAGAATAAATACACCTGAATGACTATCAGGAAAAACAAATATGGTTTTTTATTTTTATTTTTTTTGTTATAAAATCCACATCCTAGCATTAGTTAAGCACAGTTCTTCAACAGTTTACTTATGATTAGGAAAAAGAAAGTATGTGAACATTCACAACCTGCATTCCTTGCAGTGATTCTGTAAGTGGTGGTTTCTTTACCAGTGCTTCCATTATGACTTTCCATTTGCTGTAGTGTGTTTAATTTCATACCTTATAAAACATGAGAAATTTGTATTGTATATTCTGTTTTGCTGGCCTCATGTTGGTCATTTCTTTTGATTACTATCAGCTTTTATTATCCTCTGATGCTTGGACATGTATTGCATTTGTTACTGTATGGAAATGGAGCCTTACAAGAAGCCAAACAGACTGGGCCAGATTCATCCTTGTGTAACTTAAATTTACACACAGCAAGGAATTTGGCCCAATTCATTTTAATTGCTGTGTTGCTCTACTGTAGATTAGAAATAGATTAGATGTCTAAAGAAATGGATATCTTTTCTGAGGAATTAATTTAACCCACTCTCTTCAGAGAAAATTAATTTAAAAATTGACCAAATAGTACTTACAAAGCTATTAACAAAAATACAGTATAAAGAACACAAAAAACTTAGTGTATATGAAAGGATAACAAATAACATCTAAAAAAAATCAGTGGCATGTGTCACTGAATATAGTTTCCTGTGAATATGTATTTTCAATTACCCCCTCACAGAACAAGAGAGGGATTGCTAAAATTCATTAAGCTTAAATACATTTTACTTAATTACCATAGGGGATTCATTGCAATAAGATATTACTTAGGCCAAGATGTCAATAGAAATGAAAATAGTGTTAGATGCTTGCAAAAGTAGTTAGACTCCCCCCCCATCTTAAAGTGGAAATGAATTCATCATATTTCAAGATATTGCAACTCTTAATTGATACTAAGGAATTAATAATTACTCATTAAAAGGTTACTTACATTTTTCTGGGAAGCATGGGGTATTAATCTGCATCAGTTTCACTAATCTAAATCAAAAGTCACCACTACTCTTTAGAAGTCATTGATGCACTTCTGTTTTTCAGCAAGTATCTTGAAATTCTTTTATTTAGATGTGTCAAATACACAAATTCTTTCCTAATTGTTCTTACACTATGTCATTTTTAACAATCCCAGAACTGGAATGGATGATGCTCTCAGGCATCTCTGGAGATGGCTTAGTCTAACCCTGCCCTGCTCAAAGCGGAGTCAGTTAGAGCTGGTTGCACAGAGCCATGTCCAGTCGGGTTTTTAGTATCTCCAGAGATAGATACTCTGTAGCCTATCTGTGCAACTGGTTCCAATGTTTGACCACCCATACAGTAATTTTTTTTCCACCTCAATTTTAAGTGAAATTTCCTGTATTTCACTTTGTGTCAGTGTGCAGCACTAAGAGGAGTCTACCTGTGTCTTCTTTATTTGCTCCCTCCCCGCCCCTAGTATTTATACACATTTATCACCTCTTCTCCGAATCACCTCTTCTCCGGGTTGAACAGTCACAGCTCCCTCAGCCTCTCCTCACAGGTCAGGTGCTCAAATCCTTTGACTGTCATCATGGCCCTATACTTTGAACACTGCTGTATTGAAAAAAACCCCATAATATTTTTGTTTGAGTCTGTACTGAAATACAGCTTAAAAAGCTTTCGTTGTTGATTAAAACCACGTTATACTAGGAAGTGTTTAAGACCATAAAAGGAAGACAGTACTTTTTCTAGTGGCTTTACAAAGAAGACTGAACACTGTTTGCATAATAGATTGCTGCTGTTATGTAACAGGAAACAATAAATGTCTATAGGCCTTATTTTCGTGATGCATACACTAGCACTGTTGCCAAAGTTTAAGGTGCTCCTACTCTTACCTGTCCTTAGCCACTTACTGGTTTCTGCCCTGTGCCCCTCTGTGAAGGTGCTGGGACAACGGGTTGTGGGGGCTGTGATTTAAACCATCTAGAATTTTTAAACAGGCCCCATATTTTTTTGCGTTGCTGCGACCTGGGAGTGTGGTACGTTTGGTTTAATACTACAGTAGGGACAAATAAGCAGTGGAGATAATGAGGTACAAACATAGCTGCTGAAGCCACTGTGTTGTTTTGAATCTGCAGCCAAAGATGTGGGCAGGTACAGCCCCAATCTGAAGAGCTGATACAGGGTGAGGACTGCATTAAACTTGCATTCCTTTGAGGTAGGATGTCCATGCAGAAGTCAATGCTGTACTGAGTGGTAGTGCAGGAGGACAAGTATAAACCACAGGCAGCATTAGCATGTTAGGCTATGTTCACAATACAATGGCAGATTAAATAACATGTTTAAGCCACGTAGTAAAAGAAAACTTGAAATCAGGATTTGAAAACAGTTAATACAATTCTGCAGACATTTACATGAAAGTTCTCATAAATATAAGGGACAACATATGAAAATATGTTAAGGGGTTTTTTTTGGTAATCTAACACACAGGTGAAGGTCTTTGGAATGAGGTGCTATTTGGAATCAAGAACTGATCATTAGATATGAAATAGATAACTGAGATTCTGGGAATGATTTTGCACTTATGATATTATGTTAAAAAGCATTTGGAGAGTTGATTTATACATGCTAGTTAGTATAATTAAGTAGGTGCTTTATGTTTTTAACAGGATCAAAAATTACAGATGCATTTAACAGCGAAAGAGGAACATCATAAGAAACTGAATGAAGTTGAGAGGTGTTATGCTACTATTGCGTGTCAGTTTGGAATTGTAAAAGGTGTTCATGGAAAACTAGAGCATAGTGGTATGTATGTCTTAAATGTCCTCCAGCATTTGGTTTTGCTGTGTTTTGACACCACTGAGTTGGAGACACCTGACAATTCAGAAAAATAGCAGCTACCCTGTGCCAGGCATCAAATAGAACAACTGACAACTCCTGTCTCTCAGTAGGTTTCTCAGTGTTTCTTTCTGTAACAGTGCTAGGTTAAGCAGCACAGGCCCTGTACCTCTTCTGCTCTTTGCTGATATGCTACTACAGTGGTGTGTGTGAGCACATAGTAAAGTATACTGAGGAACTGATTTGTGTTCAAAACAATCCAGCAGCAGACCCACCCCCTTCAAAAAAAAGAAAAACAAAACCAAAACCCAAACAAAACCAAACAAGCAAACAAAAAACCACTTAATTTGGATCAGCTTCCTGTTGCCATTCAGCATAATCAACTTAAATAGTTGTACCAGCTCAAATGAGACACTGGAAATAAAGGAATTAGCAAATAGGGGAAAATCAATGCTTTTTAAAGTAGGTTTAACGTTGGGAAATGGACAGAAAACATTACTGAATTAATAAAAATTATTTTCTTGTACAGAAATATAACATCTTAAAACCAGTTCAGTAAACAAATAGGGTGGTATGAATAATTTTATGCAGTTAGCATTGTTACATAGATTCTGACTATACAGCTATTCAAGCTTTATAAATCTGTACCATATCCCTGTTTATGTGTTGAAGCATAACAAAATGATTTGTAAAACTACTAACACACAAAAATATTATTCCACATACTTTTACTTTATATAAATATATAATTTTTATCTGTAAAATAATAAAGTTGATGATATGAAGAAATAAAAACACCTCATTTATATGAAGTTTTGTACCTATTAATTTGAGAGACATCCTTGTTTCTCACAACAAAGTGATAAATTTCTATGCAAACATCACAGTGTATGTGTAGAATATGGACTTGTGTATTGTTTTGTGTGCCTGGAGTTTTCATCCATCCAAACACATACACGGGACATAAATGAAAATACGTATTATTTTTTAACGAAAGGTAGAAGTAGTTGTATAACTCAAACAAAACACCTCAAGCAAGCAAAAAAAAACCCCAAAACACCAAAAAACTTTTCAAATCCCAAAGCTTATAAGTTTGGAGGTTTTTCCCTGCCTGAAACTAAATAGTTTTTCAGATCTAATTTGAATAAATTAGTATTTCTGATGTTTCAGTACCTCAAGTTACTTTTTGTATTCTTTTTTTTAATAGGCTAATATTTAATATTAAAAACAAATTAAGAGAAAACATTGCTGTGTTCTTTTATTTACATTGGACAGGGCTTTTCTATTATGTCAGATACAGAAAAGTGTTGTAATTTCATGGAAAAATAACATTTACTCTCAGTATTTACACTGTTCGAACCATGTATAAATGCTTTTTGCCATTTTTCTACTTATATTTATCAGTAATCACAAAATGAACCTCTAGAAAAGATTAAATATGTTCCTAACTACTTTTATTCAAGAAGCCAATCTGTTCACCAGTTTGACTCAAGTATGTCTTTTACTGCAGAGAGAATTCACTTTGCACTGCAGTATGTAAGATGTGCAATAGGCATGTAGGTAACTTGTAAATTCTGAGCAAGAAACTGCGGTCAGTGGAAAAGTCAGGCAGAAAGGTTACGAGCCATTTTTGATGCAAATTGTTTAAATTTATAAAACGTTGTTCTTTATCTGCTATATTAAAGCAGGATGTGGGGAAAGAAGAAAGTGAAAATTGATGTGTTATAGTGCTGTACAGGGAAAATACCACAATTTATAATAAATCTAAAACTTTATTGCCTAACCAGTGTCCCACTATTAGTATTTTAAAGCTAGAGAATGAAAACATGACTCTTATTGAAAGATAGGAGAGAGTTTTACCAATTTTTGCCTGCTTGTTTTCATGTTTTTTTTTTTCTAAGTTGTACCAGAAGGTATTTGTTACATTCTTAAGTATTTTCATTTATTCTCATAACTCATATCCTCATAAATTCTCATATTATTCTCAGAATATTCTCATATTCTCATAAAACTGCAAAATTGCTGATTGTAATGTAAGGCTGTTTTCCACCATTCCCCATGATGCTTGCCATCTTTAACAGAAAAGGAAAGCACTTTCTAGGTGTGATGAAGCATCTAGAATTCTTGTATTCAAGTGTTGTGCCAGAAGCTTTTTGAGAAAATAAAGAAAAAAGATTAGGAGTGAATGAAGAGGACTCAAGGCTGAGGAGAGACGTTAGAGGATCAAAATACTAAGATTGAATAGAGGAGACTGAAAAAGTACAGGGACCAGTGAATATCTTCAACTTTTCATTGTGAAACTTCAAGCAATTTCCTGGTGATATCTTGGCCTGTATAAAGTCTAAGAGAAAATTCCCTTCCCTTTCAAAAGGGACAGAGGTTCTTCTTAGAGTTTTCCTCTCCATTAACCTCTGCTGTTTGCTGTCTTCCATGTCATATATGCATATAACTCTGTACATCTATGTACTCAATTATTTGAATGTTCTGTGGTCCATTATAGTCTATGTTCCTCTGAAAATAATTAAGCACATCAGAAAATTACAAGCAAAGCCTTAATTAAAAAGCAAAACTAAGATTAAAAGTTTATGGAGAAGTGATCTTAATAAAGTGACATCAAATTACACTAAAAATTAAATTGCCATTTAAAAAAAAAAGCAAACCAACATACAGAAAAGTCTTAACTTATTGTTTGAAGTGTAGAACAACTCGTGCAATCCTCCAGTGTAGTATCACACTATACAGAAAAGTAGCTGAGTCATATTTTCAGCCTTAGTCTTCTTTCCATGAAGATGTTTAGTTATTTTATAAATTATATACACATACATTGCAGTTATAAATCAATGTTAATTCAAATATGAAAGTATTTATCAACATGTTTTAACTTCTCTTTAAAGTACAGGAAGCAATACAGCTCAATAAGAAACTGACATTGGTGAATAAAAGACAAGAGACCGAAATAAGTAATCTGAAGGAAGTAAGTACAGTATGCATTTCTGAATGTGTCAGTGGGATTCTTTGGGACTTCTACAAGCTGCTGAAATATTAATAGAAGTAGTAGACAAGCAGCAGAACTGTTCTTCATTCTGTGACTAATGGCTAAATTAGTCTTATGCTTCCTTGTTATGCACAGATACTTCAGATGAATGCCAATTAAAATTTGAGCAGCTCTGAATAGTTCTGTAACTTGAGAATTTTTATTTACCTCTACAGTGTCCTACTTGTTTCTTGGTAATTATTAGCAGCCTCTGTTCTTCCTGTGCTCTGTTGTCATTCCTTCTCCCATCTGATATGGAAAGGTAGCAGTGGTGTGTTCAGTTGAGTCAAAGAGAGAGAGAACATGAAGAGTAGTTGTCATAGAAGCAAGCTGAGAGCTTGAACGTAGGATAAAAAGCGTAACTGACTCTCCATCAGAAATGAGAGAGTTTTGTGAGAGGGCAACTGAGACATTCGATAATAGCGATACTATGGACAAAGAAGTTGTCTGGCCATTAAGCTCTTTTTCTGCCCTCATCTATTCAGAAATTATTATTTGCCAGGTATGTTTTTGAGTTGCACTCTTGAACACATGTAATAGTTGGAAGAATAAAGTTCTCTTTTCCCTTTGAGCTTTTCCTTAAGTGCTGACAGGAGAAGAGCAAAGGGACCCCCTGAAGTCAAAATTGTCCTGTAAACTCAGTATCTTTCCATACCACATCTTTTGCATATCTCCTTATCTTTCTATTCCACTTTTTCTCCCTTTGATTCTCTGAGGATTTTAGGTAGGGGACAAATGCAAGATTGATCTCAGCTTCTTGGCCTACTGTTAATGACCAGCTTCCAGACAAGTGCTTTGGACTACCATGGAATCTTTGAAGTTTGTGAATTTCTTGCAAAACAAAAAGGGGTGGGGATAACTTTTAAATGAGGAGAAAGGACTATGAAGTTTTACGTTTGGGTTAAATTGATCAAAAATTGGATGTTTACCTGCCATGACCTTTGTTTGTCTAAAAATGAGATTTGGAGGTACAGAAGTACTTGAAAATTCTCCCCAAATCGAGTGTTGTTTTTTGTTCTTAAGAGCACACAGTTTCTTATTGTTAAGGTTCTTCAGACTATGATGCCTCTAGAAGCCTGACTTAAATTTTATCTTGAAATAGACACAGTTTATGATTTTTTTCATTTGTTTCATTTTTACCTTCTCTAGTGCTTTACTTCATTTTTATTACATGAAGATATTTTAGCCGTAGTAAAGTTTAATCAGGAATTCAATCTAGATTTGTTTACTTATGTACTAGAAGATAACATGGCAAATTTGTGTCAAAAAGATCAGGTTTTGAAGTGGCTGTTAGATCTCAAAGATTTCAGAACTCCTACTGTCATAAAAGCAGTCTGAGAAACACAACAGTAAAGGAGAACACTGGAAAAATCCTCAAATTAATTTCTAAATGACAATTAGGTTTTATGGCATTTAGAAATGTTTATTTAACTACATAATTCAAATGATAGGTTATATACATTTATATATTATATATAAAAACTATATATTTATCTGAAATATTTGATGGATGGAAGAGCAACAAAATATTGGAAGTTGTTGGTGGTGATAACTTTCCTCTATAGAAAAGCTGTGTTTTGTTAAAATGCTAATATTGTCATAACCATGAAAGTCTGAGGACAACTTTGTCTTGTGAGCATTGGGTACACTTCAACTGTACAATTCCTTTAAAAAAGGATAAATAATTAGTGTGTGACAGAGGAACATTCATCTAAAATGCAGCATATCTTTATTGTAATGCACTGTAAATATAAAAATTTAGGGGTTTTAGAAATTTTTAAGCAACACAGTAAATTAGATTTGTTGCTTTCGGTAAAGAAACCGTGAATAATTCATTACTTAGAATTCTGTAAGTGTAAATAATTTGAGAGGTAAGAAAGGAAAAATGTTTAAGAAAATTTTACATAGTGAAATTTGTGAGTAACAGAGGTGTGCAAAATAAACTGATAGTGCTTTATGTACTCCAGTAATCAAACGTATTATTTGATCCATTTTTGTTCAGCTGTGCTCTTGATTCTTAAGGTCATGGGTGATGAATTTTAAATAAAATACTGTTAGATAAGCAGAAGAGGGAGCCAACTGAAACTTAGTCTGGCTTCCTCAGTTCACTAGGAAATACCTTTATTGTGGTTATTTCTTAATTTCTTATTGGTTGTTTGGTATTTGACCATTCTATTCTGAATAATGGTGGAAAACTGAACTGGAATTTAATTTCTTAGCATTTTAATATTCATGTAGTGCTGCAGCACTTTGTTGTGGCAATGCCTTATTTTGCAAAAAAAAAAAAGTGGGCATGCATTTATTTGTGAATATAGTTTTAGAAATAGAAGTTGCATATAATAGAAGGAGATGCCTTTTTCCTCAAAATGCAGAATTTCTGTGAAAACTGAGTTAAAAATGAACAATATTGTAAAAAAAAAAATACAGCCCTTTTTCAATATTCCCTATTTCAATAGTTTGCTTATAAAACATTTCTGGAAAGTTGTATGGTGAGAGAGTGCATTTCTTAATTATATCTGCAATGGCACTTGTTAGATCTGTTAGCACAGCTTCTGTTAGTGAAGGGCTGTGGGCTCATCTTCTGGGTCACTCTGCAAGAGAAGAGAAAAGAAGTGCTTGAACCCAGTAAGAAGTGCCCTAGCTAGTTTCATTTCATTGTGGTTACATTGTGCTTAGCCTAACCATTGCAAAAGTGATCTTAAAGCAGTCAAGTGTTTTCCCTTCTTGGGGAATGTATCTGTCATAGAGCTCAAGGGACCTACATGAGATACAAAGCAATGAGAAAACTTTGATATTTAGAAGAGTTTGGAAGAGGGATTACCAGGCTGTTTTCACTTGCTACATAGCTGAAAGAAGTCATGATATCTGCAGCACAAGTTGGGACAACTTATAAAGCTGTTTTATCTGCCTTGGAGACTTGACTGACCTCTAACAGCTCTGGCAACTTTTGGGTTCAAACCTCTATAGCCTCAGTGCTGGAATGGGAATGACTATCCATAGTATCCATATCCATCCAAATCCATCTTAATTTGGCTGTCAGCTCTTATCACAGCAATTACTTTGACTCAGACCAGGATGATCTCACACATTTATTCTAAATAGGAATATGAAGTTACTGAATGCTTTTCAATGTTTATGGACAAAATTAAACTAATTTCCAATTTTAATGATATTGCAAGTATGTGATGGAGGTGTTAAATATGTACAACAGTAACACCTGGGTTAAACGGAGGTCCATTCTGCACAGGTTTACTCTTCTGGGATTTGTGGAAAGAAATATTATTTAGAGACATTGTAGTTTACTCTTGACATTGCCTGCTTACAAGTCCATTTCCTAAATCTTAGCTTAAGGACTGTGGCCTTTTCAGTAACGTTTATTTTAGGATGTGACTGTTTAGATATTGAATGTGGTAAGATTATTTTCAACCACTATGAAAATGCTTGCATTGAAATCTGGCTGAGAAAAAGGTTTCTTTCACTCTGCTGCTTAAAAAACAGCTATGCTGCTCAAGGCCTGAAAGATTACAGAAGAGTTGCAGTGATCTAGGAAGAAAGCAAAAAGATACAGTTGTAGTTTTGGATACAGTTAAAGTTTGGGTAAGGTATCAGCACTGCCCTGGGAAGGGGTTACATCTGCCCACATACATCTACATATACCACCTCTTCATGCTGGCACACGTATTTGTGTGGCCTTGAGGGAAAGTAGAATGAAATTTTCTTATTGATCAAAACTACATTTTACCAAAAAAAGGGAGGAAGTTTTACCTTAGATCAACTGGCAAAAGGACAATACATTTAAGGAGCAGCATTAGTTTCTTTTGTGACACTCTTGACTCTGTATGCTGGCTTGAAGTGTTTCTGAAACTATGTCCCTAAGAGTTGGCTGCTAGCAACACATCAAAGCAATGGGTTTAAAGCCTTATCATTCTTTCTTAGAGTTCCCCAAAAACGGATAAAATTATTTTCCATATTCAACTTAATTTATGGGGTTCTGAATACTACTAATAATCTTATTAATGACAGAAAGCTACTAGAAAAAGAAGCAAAAACTGTGGGGTGAATTTTTTTTTAAATTTCAGAGTACAAGAAAATATATATATGAATGTATAAAATTATTTTATATTATTTTCTTAACTACATCACTTGTACTTCCACTCACCATGGAAAACTTTTCTATTTTTGGTGATCTTGTTTGTGTTGGTTCTTTTGGGGTTTGTGTTGTTATTTTGGTTGTTTATTGGTTTTGGCTTTTCCTGCCTACAGCCTTGTTGGATTAGCAGATCTGGGTTTGGTTCCAGATAGATTATACACATCCACCTGCTATATACAAAGAAGAAAATCCAGTCATCTTTTCTACCTCAAGAACATGATTTACTTAGTACAACTTGTTCTTTCCCCATGACAAAATAAGATTTTTCTGCACACAATAAACTGAGTTTTGAAAAATATGTAGTATCAGATCCATAGCAGGCTTTTGCACCTGCCTGTGTAGCACACAACCTGTTAGCTGTGCTCTGTAGACCATTAATCTAGTTATCTGTAAAGATTGGCACAGTGCACCTTTTCAATTTTACAAATTTAAAACTGCTTGCACCTTCTAGAACTACTAGTTTACAGAATATCACAATTCTAAAGCATTGCTGTCTTTGGGTTCTATAATTGATTCTGCAATTACACTTAGTACTTACTAGATAATTTTAGATTTATTTATGGCTAAAATACATGAGAAATAAAGCCTCTAGCAAAAAATTGATTTATTTAAAAGTAGTACCTATACTTGTATTTTCCCTAAAACTTTGTATTTGTGAATTTCGGCTACAATGTAATCTTCCTTTTTTCTTTAGTACTGTTATATGATTTTGTCCAGAACAGTTAAACCATTGGTCTGCGATAAGATGGAATTCCAGTTTTGTGAAGAAAAGTTAAACAGACCAAACTTAGTTGTTAGATAAAACTATTACCATTCTGAATGCTTGGTTCACCAGTATGGCATCATGAAGAATTCTTGATACTATCTGTGAACAGCATTCATAACCTCTGCTATTTGTCTGAGTAAACGTCAGAGCGCTCAAGGAGAGAGCGATATTAAACAGACTACCTTGTACCAGAATGGGAGGGGTGGGGGAGAACAGGGCACAATATTTATGACTCCAGGAACTATAAGTTGTAATTTAATGAGATCAAAGCATTTGCTGTTTATTTGCTGCACTAGAAGCTTGGAATAAACTGGTTAGAAAACAGATACAAAAAAAAAAAAAGGCCAGGATATTTAAAAGATAATAAAGACTATAAAATCAAAGGCATATTTTAAATGGAGGATCATGTTGTAGAAGCCTCTAATATAAAATTAATTTAGCATTCTCCTGAGATCGAGTAATTAATGTTTCAGGAAAAGCAAAGATCTTCCAAATTTATAGCCAGTTCCTGTTTTTACCAGATAGTCGCTGTTCTTCATTTTTTCCTCCTGATTCCCAGGAACGTACACAGTAGTTATAATAGGTACTTTATTCCTATTGTATATCTTGGTGTAGGAGGTTTTACCAATACCAACTCAATGTCCACTTCTAATATACTTCTTGGAAGAGAAAATAACAAACTGCTTAAGTATCATAAATACTTCAAATAGAGTAAAATGAGCACAATAACATTTTACCTCTGAAAATAAACTTTTAGCCTCGTGTGACAAGTTTAAAGTTTGGCAAGTCAGTCTTACGAATTTCAGTTCCTCTAATTTATTCTGTTGTTTCCATACATTATTTAAAAGTAGGGCATGACTCAGGATAGTTTAAAAGATTTGTCTTTGTTTTGAATTGCAATGCCTATACTGGATGAACTATTTATACGTGTTTCCTGTGTTAAGGAACTGAAGAAAGTAACTACAGACTTGATAAGGTCCAAGGTCACATCTCAGTACAGGGTCGGAGAAGAAAACATCAATCTTGCAGCAAAGGAAAAACAGTTTCAAGAACTGCAACAAAAAATCAGAATGGTATTTTGGAATTTAAACAAATTAATTTTTTGGTGAATATTTTCTGTTCTTTGTTCATCAAACATCATGGCAGTGATCTCTCTGATGTATACAGATTAGTGACTCCTTTCTACTAACTGCATATACAATATGACACAACTATTTCCAGAACAACCTTTTCTAGGGAAGTAAATATGCTATGAATATAAGTATAATTTTCTAGAAAAAAAAATGGATAAGAAGACATTTCAAAATAATTCCGTTTCTTTAAGTAGCCTGATGATGACTCACAATATCACATTAATACAATATTACTGAAGAAAATAGACAGTAATTTTAAATGCCTTTTCTGTTCTTCATGCTCTTTTTTTTTAAGGAGACAGTAGTTAGTAAAAAAGTTCAAGAAGAAAACACTCACATTAAAGAAGAAAAGCTGGTGAGTAGTTAATACAACTTTGCTATTTAAAAATCGCTTAGAATATATGTGCTATATTTCATATTTAAGTTTCTTGAATTATTATACTAAGCTACTAAAATGAATTAAATTCACTCATTTACTCTTCAGAAATATGTTAATAGTAACATAAATGGGATATTACTCCTCAGTTTTTAGAAAGTGTATTACCAGAACAAAGTCCATTGTTTGACACTTTATTCCAAGTCTTGTTTTTGAATTCAGGTGGGAGAAATTTGATATACCTATGAAAGAGTTGTTTACATATCAGTTGAGTACAAATAAGCAATAAGGTTTGCGTGACATGCTGCTTGTTCTGCTTTCTGGTTGTCAACAGTTTACTGTAGTACTGATGATACAGAAACCAGGTAAAATTGGAATCATGTGTCAATCATATACAAAGGAAATGGTGTTCCATTCATACAGAACATACACATTCAGAATATTAAGCTATAGCTTTACATAGCTGAACAGAGTTAAGACTGTCTTCTATTGCAAACTTGGGTATGTTCCAGAGCAAATCCTGATATTCAAACCTCAAGATACATGGAGTCAGTTATCAAACATAGCAAAAAAGTTATGTTCCCTCTAATAACAGTATAATACACTGCTTTGAAGAATATTAAATGTAAAAAGAGTGTTTGTTTGGTTGGTTTTTTTCTTAAACAGTTGCATAATTTTCATTCTGCAGTTCATTAAGCCAAACATGTCAGAGAAGTGTATCATTCTTGTTCTCAGGGAGGGACAGAAGCAGTAGCTTACTTGTATGCCTGTTGAGCAGTCATTGAAGGCTAATCCAGCAGTACTCTTCCAATCTGTAAAAGCCTGTTTGCATTTTGCATTTGCTTGTTAAAAATACTTGCTGATAAACAAAGGAAAAAAAATCAGACGTATTCTGGACTCTTTACTTCCACAGCCCTGAATGCACTAAAAGCATTTATGTGGAGATGCTCATAGCATAAGTCATATGCGTATTTGATACGTATTATCTAAAAGAAGGTGTCTATTTTGTTTCTCTATTTTGTTCTGTGTGAATTGCTAGAGTTTGTTTGATTGGCTGGTTTTAACATACAGAGAGTTTTGGTATAAATCTGGGGAGGTCTCTAATATAGAGATGAACTTCATGTTTTCCCCAAGAACTTGGGTTAGAAGACCTGGATTTGTGTATTATAGAGCGCTACAAATTCACCGTCTGGATTAACTGAAGATGTCTTCAGTGGGACTTGGACTGAGGCTGAATATACTATCTAAATTATAGCTGATTTACACTGAACTGTATGCAGAGAATCAATCTTGTCTAGCTGAGTGAACACTGTACTAGATTTAAAAGACATGTCCAACTCTGCTACCAACCTGTCAGGTGACACTGGGCAAGCTTATTCCACATTTCTGTGGTTCAGTTTTCTAGATGTAAAATTGAATTAAAGATAAATTAAGCTTCAGTGGAAAAATATTACTTATCTCTGCAGAAGAGTATACATGCATGAAAAGGAATGAGAGTGCACCCAAAATAATGATTTTATTTTTAGTTAGCTGTATCTGTGTATACAATAGAACCAAAAATAGATAAATTTGAAAGCTCTTTGCAAGTATATGGAAGTACTTTGTTTTAATAATATGTTCCCCTCTCAATGTATTTTGAAGCAACTGAGCACATTTAAGACTGTCTTCTGCCTGAAACTCGGGTTTTTTTCCTGTGCAGGTTGTCTTTTAGTAACTGCTCTTCTGGTCTTTAGGGAGTAGAGATTGGCTTGGCTAGATCATTCCCTCTGTCTTTGAATCTTTGAAAATGTGTTTTGTACTGTATAATAGAAAATGACCCTCTCTCTCCATTCCATCCATGTTTTCAGCTGACTCCAATAAACTTAATGGTGGCACCCATGGGTTTGTAAATCTATACCACCTTAATCAACTCACTTTAGGTGGGGTTTTGTTTTGTTTTTGTTTTTGTTTTTTAGAACTTACTCTTCTTGAAGTAACAGCATAGTCTTGATGAAGGTACCAGAAAAATTCAGATAGTGACAGCAAAATCTGATGTACTTGTGCCATATCATGCAAAGCTAATGTGTTCTAGTTCACATCTGTTAGGATTTAATTCAAGAGGTACAGAATAATGTAATATAAGGGTGATCCATTAATGGAAGTGATTACTTGCCTGTCATATAATTTCTCTGGGATTTTCCATATTTTCCAGAGCTGTAATATGGTAGCATGAAATTATTCTGTTTGATTGAACTCACAGTGGGGTTGCATTTGATGTATTTCATTCAGATTTGCACTGAAGTATGTTTAAAGTATCAATGGATTTTCATTTTAATTATAAGAAAATTCTCTGAAAAGAAGTAAGTCATAAGTTATAATAATGTTACCTTCTCCAAGGCAATAGGCCAGAAAAACCTGGAATTGTTCTGATTTTTTTTCCTACAAGCCCTTCCCCAATATTGATGTTGGAGTACATTTTTATATACATGATTTTGTAAACAATGTCAGAATAAAAAATAAATATGTTGATCTAAAAGACATAAATTATCTAATGATTAAACTTCAGAAACAAAATCTTATTCAATATATCCTAATTTGTTTGTATTAATAAGGAAATTCTCAGCTCTCTACAATGTGTGCAGGAGCTGCTTCAGCGAATAACCCAAACGAATGTTAGAATGGAGAGTGAATTAAATGCACTGAAAGAAGAATATCAGGTCAGATTTTTCTTGATTAGACAAGCTGCTACTATCTGTTATGTATTTTTTAAGTCTAGGGCTGTTAAAGACATCTGTATGCTTTTCAGAACTTTTGACCTCACTTCCATTGCTCCCTCAGCTCCTTAACTGTCAGCATGAGCCTTGAAGCGCGCAGGCTATGATTTCCCTCTTTTGGTTCTCCCCCTAAAGTAAATCATGGTTGCCATTCTTATCAGCCATTTCTGGAAAGTAAAACCAGAACATATTGGAGGTTGCTTTCAAGTATTTTGAAATCAAATTATTTTATGACTTTTGTAATTTTCATGTAGGTATAAATTTCTTTTCTGGAAAATACTTCAAATTTCAGATCTTCATAGCCAGAGCTTGTCCCTGGTTTTATTAGAGCAGAGGGCCTAAGAATGAGCATATCCTTAGCTATTTCTTGCTGTGTTGTCTGATGTCATATTTATGCTAGAGGTGGTAAGTAATCATGCTGAACAGTGTGGAGTTGCAGCCTTCCTCATTTCCTCTTTAAGCGTGTAAAAGTGGCTTAGAACAGTTGAGATTCTAAATCACACTAGCAGTCGGATTAGCCCACAGTGCACTAAAGATTAAGGTCATATCTGTTCCGGTCAGATATGCCATGAAGAGTTCAGGTACAACCATTAATCGAACTATTAATAATTATTATCTACTATTTGTCCTTATATAACCACAACTATTACATTCTTTGCTTGGCCTGTGAGGCCAAGGTTTTGAACTAGGATCTCAGTTAATTTCAAATTAAACTTCCTGTGTGCACATATACTTTTGTTTTTAAGTAAATGCTTCTATGCTAAATTGAAATTAGATTCACTTCACATAAGCCTTTACTTTGGCTTTTAACAGATGTATGCAGTTTGCCTTCTGCCACAGTTTAAATATATGAATTTTGCATTTTGATGAAACATGTAAGACTAAAGACAAGTTATGTTCTCCATCAGAAACTAGCTTGAATTTCACTAGGAATTAAAGTACTTGCTTTGTAATACTAGATAAAGCTGTAGTGACTAGAAGAGGAAGAAGTCACTGATTTCAGATGTTTAGGTTCCTATATTTATATTACTCTAAGAGTGTTGGATTTTCATGACTTAGAATTCTTTGATCTCAAGAGTGCTCTAGAACCAAGAAGAGACGCTTCTCAACCTGGAGAACAGTCCCACCAGTTCATTATGAATTTTCAGAGTTCTCCGGTTCCTCTTTCATATATTGACTCTTTTTTAAAAAAAAAAAAAAAATTACAAAGCACAGTTTAATGGGAAAAGGTTTATGGTTTTTTTAGCATGTTTGAAACTTTTTACAAAGATTAATTTAACAGTCTCTTGGCTGTAGAATTGCCTAAAGTAGCATGATTTTCTGTAACCTCTGTTATTTGTATGTTGGGTCCAGTGAAACAGCTAGATTACTTGCTAGTCATACAGTACTGTTTTTTGTTAAAGTAAGAAGGTAACCAGCATTTTATTTTTTAAGATGATTGAAGTTACTTTGTAAATTAAACCAGAAACTTGAGATAATTTCATTGGTATGTAACTTTACTGATGATGACTTTCATAATACTTTAGGATCTTTGTGTCAGGATTATTGAATAGCAGGTGTACTCTAAAAGTGCTTTTTTCTGATAGTACTTCTAAGCTGTTGTTTCCCATCTCAGATAGAATTTATAGTATGCCTTAAAGCTCCAGCTAAAACTGTGAACGGTATCTGTGAATCTTTGCAGACTCCACATAAATGTCTACAAGCGTAAGAAAAGTATAGCTTGTTTTCTTGTTGTTAAGGTATGAAGTGAGTACAAGTCTCTGTTTTGCAGCCTGTCCAGGCCAACAATTGATTTCTGATTGCAATTATATTAATTCTGATTTGAGAGCCTGCTTTGATTTGGATCCTGTTTATATTGGACATTGGGAAGGTATTAATGTTTTTCTAACTACAGGACAAACTATTTCTAGTCATGAAAGCTTCAGTGTGGTCTTCAAAGGTAATTTTTTGCAGGCATAAGTACTTTAGATTAAATTGGTGTTACAAGACATGGATAACTAATAAGAGGCTCTTGATTCAACATTTGAAAACTCTTTTGACTATACAAGGACTCCTCAATACTTACTTTCATGTAAATATTCCTTCTTAGTCTTCACTGTGACACTTAAAATCAGCTAAGATTTGATCTCAGTTGAGTTTTGGGAGAGCATTCTGTGAATTCTCAAAACCAAGATGTTCTCACCTGAGAATGGGACCTAAAGGATTCATAACATTTATATAAGCAGATATGAGTGACAAGCTTTCGAGAGATCACATCTGGAAACATAAAAGTGACTAGATATTTTAATAGATTTTTCTGAAAACCTGATAAATACATGCATAAAATGCAGTGATTACCTTAAACAGCATGATGTAAAGACAATGCAATATTAAAAGTGAATGTCATGTATTCTTCTTCTTTCCATATGAACTCATGGGGTTATTTTGATTTGTCAGAATGTCTGTCTTTCTGTTTAAACAGTAGTCATAAAATATTGGGTTTTTACACCTACTCATTTGACTGACAGTTTGATAGTTAATGAGATTTTCCAGGGAATGAGACGTTAACTGCTTATTTTGCAGTGTCATTTTTTTAAAGCGGCAAATAGAATTTATAAAATAGGGAGCTGAATTTATAACTGGAAGGGTCTACTCACTTTCCTGCCAATCTGAGAGCTATTGCTTTCATCTTTATTGGTTCTAGAACTGCAATATGATGAATGGGATTTGAAGGTTATGTATTACTCTTATGCTCTATCCTACATCCCTGTTGAATTTGTGGACCTTGCTCATCAAGAAAAAGAGTTTCTTCAGAATAATAGAAAAAGGGAAGGAGTGATGGGAGGATGGAAATATTTTTATTCTTATACTCACAAAAAAAAATCTACTGCTTATTTTTGGGCTTGAGATGACAGAATGCTTAAACTTGCAAGGTAACATTCAAGAAGGATCATGCTCATTCTATCTATGCCTACTTAGTACTAGGATACCAAGGTCCTTACGAGTTCAGAAAAATAAGTTATAATTCTTTAACAGGTGACAGAATACTTGAGAATGCAAGGAATTCAGGTATTCCCCTCTCTGTACAATTGGCTTTAACATATGATCAGTTCTATTAATCTGCCTCTCCTGGTATTTTGCCCTAAGAGCTATGCTGTGAATAACTATTATATTCCATCTCAGAGGAGGTTGCATTTGAGATGCAAGTAAAAACATCCTTGGAGTCAGAGGAGGTTTATCAAAGACAGAAGGTCTTGGATTCCTAGTTTACAGAACTCGATGAAAGGTGCTATGTTGGAGTGGAATTATTCAGACAATGTATTGTTGAATTGTCTCATTTTTTAAATTATATAATCTGTCAGAGGAGATCCATTATATTCTTATACACAACTTTTTCCATGTGTATGAAAATGCAAGGTAGTCTGAATTTTCCTAGTTTTAAAATATATTTGTATTAATAGTGTAGCTGAATTAACATGGACGTCTTAAAACTGATGCTAAGTGAATCAAGTAGACTCAATTTTAGTTAAAAGATTAAGTAAAAAGGAATTGCTTTGGAGTATTGTCTCCATAACTTAACACTTTTCAAGTGGACTTTCAAAGAAGCTCAGCAAAGTCATAAATATGTAGCTGCTCATATAGCTACAGGCATTAAAGTTATGTTTACATTATCAAATATATTTGTGTCATCTACATAGTAGATAAAGGATGCAGTAAGTCCTTTATCTTCCATATTGCTTGCTATAAAAAATGTGATAGGATAAAAATTCCAACAGCACCCAAGATATGTGTGAAGTTACTGTTGATTTACACAAAACTGCTTTAATTTAGCACAGTAAAGCTGCAAGAGTTAACCCAAAAATGTTGCAAATACAATTATGATAGTATAAAACTTAATATTACTGTTATTTTAATGCACTCCTATACTATTTCAGTGATCTAATAAAAATAAATTAAAGGATAATCAGATGTATACTTCATGTTCCAGTATGTTTGAGAATTTAAAGTTTATACAGTTTATAAGATAGGCTAATAAACAATCTAGGATAGAAAAAATTATTAGAAAAATAAAAATATTTTCTTTGAGTATACAGTAGTTTTTTTCTTTAAGTACAATGGGTCTAGATTGTGCTACATTTCATATTTCTCATCTCTGGACTTTATATTACTTTTTCAGCACATTAAAACTTATGCAGTGAAACTGAATAATGGCAAGTGTTTTTATACCCTTTTATAGCCATTTCTTTTTTCATAACCTCCCCCTGTTTCCTGTTAGCTAAACTATAAGCACCTTTCTGTTAATTTATGAAAATTATTGTTGAGCTAGCACATTATCACTGATCTGTATGGCACTTCCAGCATGTTAGAAGCAAAGGTCCAAGCAACATAAAACACATCAAAATTCATTAATGTGGTATTGATTATTTTTTGGATAATTAATTTTATTGCAGACCCTTGAAAGAGATAATGAGCTGCAAAGGCAGAAGGCAAAGGAAAATGAAGAAAAGTTCCTTAATCTTCAGAATGAGCATGAGAAAGCACTAAGAACTTGGAAAAAAGATGTAGGTTTATTAAATTAAATGTTAGAGTATTAAAAGGTTTTTGAAATAGTCATCAAGCATTTCAGGTAATTCCTAAAAGCCAAGAAAATATTGCAGAAACAATACAATAAAAACAACCAATTTCTTTTCTGGTAATGCAGATTCTTCTAGAAATGAATATTTTTAAAAGGTAGATTTAGGAGAAATGTTGACTTCTGTGGTCTAAAAGATCAGCGCACTTCCTACAGCCCTGTAAAGCAAGAACCACAGTATTAGGTGTTACCTTGAATTTAGCACTTAAATATTCCAGAATTACACTCTTGCCATTACCTAGACATGGAAGCTGATATAGTTTCTATACAGTGTGGACTGTGGGGTGAAAGGGGATAAGAAAGGGTAAAAATCTGTATGTCCTCTCAGGGAATTCAACTCTGTATACACCTAAACAATAATTTGCCTTCAATATTTGCCATTCTTTCCACTACTTCATTACATTTAAAGAATACTTCAGTAATTACTTAGTCCAAAATAATTAGCAAAATATTGTAGCTGTAAAAATTGTCTGCAATAATAAATCCATGTTTACAAGTAACAAAGATTAATACTTCTTCAATAAGACAAGATCTGTTTAGTCTGTGGAAACAGGTCTCTAAGCAGCATTTGTTTAATAGTCCCATCTTTTTTCTTTCTATGCAACTGGCACCTACTGCCAGAAATGTTTTGAATTTGGTAGATAGATTCTCAGGGAGGCTGTGGGGAAATAATGCAAAGTCATCCTTGTAATCCTGTTGTCTAATGCTAACTCTTTTGAGTGCAGCCACTATGGGAGGTGACTGCAACCATGAGGCTACAAAATATCTGAACTGTCCTGATGCTCACTGCCCTGAGAAGATTTGATCTCCCTGATCCCTAGGAGAGTCTTATACCATAGTTTCCTGTATAGAAATGGGAACTGGCCCTCCCTGCTTATTTCTCAAGAATGTTTGCAACTATTCTTTAGAAGATAATTTCTTTTTTTATTTTGGGGGTTGGTTTGTTTGTTTTTTTCTCTCCATATTTCTGCTATGGCTAACTAGAAATTTGGACTCTTAATATCTTAAAGTATAGCATCATCATGGATAATGTTAACATTATACACTGCTCTGGAAATATTTGTAAATTAGATTAAAGTATTTCTGTAAAATTGCACTTCTGTTCTCTTTACAACTTGTATTTTTTACCATCTTTTTTTGTTCTAAATACAAAAATTTAATTGTTACTCACTGAAGAAGTATTGGATACTTGAGGCTATTTACAGAAGTAAAATGCCAAGCAGATTATTTGCTGTTGTAGTTTCTTGACAATGTAGGTAGAGAATGAATGTTGACTAGCATGCTTTGCTTTGAGCCAAAAAAAGGAAGAAAGCTACAAATGCAAATCTCATTTTTTTGAGCATTGCTACTTGAAGTAAATGGTGAAGAAACCCAATTAATAAAAGGTCTGTCTTTCTAATGGAAATGTGGTTAAAATTTTGGTTTGAATGAAAGAGCTCAAAATTGTCTTAGTACAAAGAAATTCCTTAGCATCTATACTTTAATGATTTACTTTAATTTGCTAAGCTGTTCATACCCCTGTAACATACTGGTTTATGTATTTGAACATGCAGTAAAGATCTGTGTTTGTGTGCTCTGTGTACTGTCAATTATTACAGGAGGAAAACATGAGAAGAGAAATAGATGCTATTAACAATGAGCTGAATTCCCTTAAAGGAGTTCATAGACATCTTGAAGCGCATCATCCTCCTCGGAGAAATCAGCATTCTGAGCAAGTGGAACATCTGCAAGTGAGTGTCTCTAATAGCTGCAGTACTTGCCATTTCTTGTAAAAATATTAGAGAATGAGAGACATGAGTTTTTCTTATTTGGCTGTCATGCCCGCTGATCTTCCTTTGACACTGCTAAACCTAAAAATTTATCTGATGTAAACAACGATCCAAGATCCCATTAAAACTTACTGTACCCAGAGAATGTTCCCCTTTCATCCAGAGGGGTGCTTATATCATAGAAACTTCAGATGTTACTTCATTAATAAATTTATACATAATAGGTAGCAGTTATCTTAAATAATGTATCTTTACTAAATCCTATTTCACAAGCATTTTGCATGGGTTATTTCTTAAATACTGTGGCAACCCATTAACTTCATATGTATCTAAGTTCCCAGGAAGTGTGGAAGTAAGTCAACTTCTACTCAGAGGAACTAATTTCAGCCTCTGTAACATGGGACAGATCAGAAGATTCTTTTTGTCAACATATAGATTATCTAAGTTCTTCAGTTTTAGTTTTAAAAAAACCCAACCTTTATTTCCCTTAGTGTCTTTAAGAATCGTCGAAGGCATAGCAAGCTCAACAAGTAACGAATGCAGAAGGTAAAAGACTTCTATGCAGTGCAGGTTTAACTACAGTTGAGCTTGCATTGCTGAGTGAACCACATCCATGTTCAGCTCTATATTCAGAGCAGATATGAGAAGTCAACAAGTGGTTAAGCACATGAAGATGGTCTTTTGGAGCAAAAGGAAGAGCATGTAGCCCTGCAGCTATGTGTTATCCCTTATTTAAACTGGATTGCAAATTTATATTCCAGTCTCTCACAACATTGAAAAAATGTGAAGAGTCATAAACCATAAGAAAAACTTTCCCTGCGCATTGAGTGTATTCTGTTGTTCAGTTGAGCATTGGTTATATAATATTTTTCCATTAGTTTTTACATCAAAATAATGGATTATCCTTCAAAGAAGGGAAAACTCATTTTGCATGTATATGATTTTGCTTTCAGTGTTAGGAAAACAGGAAGACACTAGGATGGTAAGGACAGATTATGGTTTTTAGAACTAGTCTATGAAGTGTCAGTAAAATGACAAACTGTATTAATATTTTAGAATTTGGAAGAACTTAAAATGCATGTATATATGTTTATAGCTCACAAATATATACACACACAAATATATGAATATATATACACATACATATCTGTTGATATGTGCTTAATAATGCAATGGAAGTTAGACTTGAAATGAGTACTCATCATGCCAAAGCTGTACGAATTCTACAAGGTATAATGCAAACTGTAACTTTTAAAAATCACTGTTTCTTTGCATGAAAATGAAACATGAATTATGTTTAGGACATAGAATCAATGCACACAATCAGTCATTCATGATAAACAGTACTTACTGTGCTTACTAAGATAACCCTATCTGTTTGAAAGTGGGTAAGCTTAAAGCATATACTTATAAATGCAAAAAAAAAAAGTCTGAGATGTCTTCTAAATAGATATCTTACACTATCTTATGGCAAATTGCCATACCACTTTGTGTTGTATGATCATAAGATTTCAAAAGCTAGGCAGGTTAGGCTGAGTTAAATCTCCAGTGGAACACTGCCAAGAAATTACAGGAGCTGCAGCAGATCATATTGATTATTCTAATTTTTGGAATTTCACCTTGTGTCAATAATGAGTCAGTGTCTAGTAAAACATAAAAGGGCAAGGTGTAGGCTGTGATTTACATCCTGATTACGGCTCCAAGTGTTGCAAGGAAATATGCATATATTTATTTTTATGTCTAGTGCAATTTGAAATCCCTGCAATTATTTGTGGGGCATGAAATTTAGGATGTATGTAAACCTCTTCATACTGATCACCTGTGGAATAGTAATTAAACAAAAGGCCTTTTTTGAAAGAAAGGTACGATCTCAGACCTCATTACAGACTCTAATTGCAATTTATTTTAACTTTACCACGCTTCACACTTAGTTTAATATAATTTTTAATACAGCTGTGTACCATTAGAGAATAAGGCTACAACTAGCAATGAGTTATTGTAATTCTTTTGTGTGTGTATGTACAGGGAGATATGGTTTTGAGAATGTTTTGAATTTCATAGTATGAAATATTCTGTTGAGGGAAGGGTCATCTTAGGTATATGTATGTTGCTTAGTTAGATTTTACTAAATCACAGGTTAAAAATTAATATCCAGGTTTAATAGTTTTGATATGTAGGCATTTTAGTTTATGTATCTTGGACCTATTTTTGAAGGGCTGAACAGCCATTTGAAGTTAATGGAAACTAGTTTTTTTCAACCCATCTGAAAATCTGGAAAGGAATCATATAACCTTTCTAAGAACACTTTATCACATTTGTTTCAGATGCATTCAGCAGTTCAGCCCATACCAACAAATGTGGTAAGTTCCACTGTCATAGCTGTTCTGCACCTGTACAAAAGAGTAACATGCGCAGTAATATTGTGTTGCTTGGCCTTTCTGTCTAAAGAAACAGCTCCTAGAAGCAAGAGCTTATGAAAGAATTACAGCTTTAATGAAAGAAAAAGGAAATTTCTGGTATTTGTATTTGAAAAGAAAAGCTTGAAAATGTGATGCCAAGGCTGTATATAGCCAAGAAGTAAAATTAAGTAATTAAAAACTTAGAAAACAGAAAAGATGCAATATTTACATTTTCCAAATCAGAGTACCAGGGAAGATGCTAATAAAACATGAGGAAAAGAGAAAGAAATTTTCAGTTGAAACTGCAAATTGAAGGTGGAGTGTTTGGCAGAGGAAGACTATTCTTCTATTTATGAAGACCTTCTTCCATTCACCAGGGCTCCTCCCTCTCCCAAATCAGCAAAGCTGGGAGCATCAGGATGTTTCTGTGACCTGTAGAAAATTGTTTCCTGCAGATTTGCATTCTACATCATCTACTATGCCGCCATTGCAATAATCCCATTTTTTACCAGTGTTGTCTACATGACTCCCTCCATTTTGCAATATACTCTGTCCTCCCCACAGATCCGATGCCCAAGCACAGCGCTTATAACTCCCTCCCACACCGCAGTCTTCCTTTTGCAACACCTCCAGCCACCCAAGTATCTTCAGCTTTTTCTCACATCTTTTATGGACTAAGCAATACCCCTGCTCCCTCCCACATCTACCTACTTTTATATCCTGTCTTTAGGGCAAGAGCCAGCATGTGTTCCTGCCTTCAGCTGCCAAACAGCTGATGATGATAAAGGATGCATCTTCTTTTCCTTTTTTTTTGCTGGGGTTTTATTAGAATGTTTCTTCACTATTCAGATCCTAGTTTTCACAGAACTTTATCGAATGAAGCTTTCAAAAATAAAAACAAATACAGCTGCAGTAGTAGACCAGCGACTTAAAGTAGACACATCTTTCAGGCTTCTACTCCTGTTGAATTTGACTCCAGTTCAGGTTAAAAAGCCACCTGGGGGGGAATGAGGAACTGACTGACATGAATTGCAAATTCATAACCCTTATTTGCCTATGAAATGAAGTTAAAAATCCTAGGTGGTTTGTTAGAAAAAAAAAAATAGTGTTAATATGTGTGTATATGCACATGTGTTTGAATGTAAATAGCAATCAGGCAGGTTTTTTCTGCCTGTAATTACTGAGCAGGTCACTGACTTAGCTAGCAGACAGAGGGAGTGATCCAGTCAGCATATGTACAACACATATTCCTTCCTCTGAGGAATTCTGTCAACTGTGTAACTTTTCTCTGTGGACTGTAATATAGCAGGATCTAATTAATTTCCTGCTCTTCTAGGGTATTAGTCTCCTTTTTTTCTCCATTTACATTAACTTTGTATACTTCAGGTGAACGGTCTTTGCTTTCCATCAGAATTGTAAAAATAATTTCAAATCTAAGTCCTGAACTTTAATCCGTGACTGTAGTAAATTATTAAAATATGTATAATCTTTTGTTCCTTCTTATGCTAGAGTGCTCAAGAACATGCAAAAGACAGTGAAATACAGGCTATTCAGAAAGAAGAGGAATGTAGGCAATCTATAATAAGAGAAGACAGTAATTCTGGACATGAAGAAGAAACTGAAGTAAAAACCACAATGGACTACTCCATAAGCATTGAGGAATTACAGATAGAACAAAGTAATAACATTACATGGATAATAGAGATAAGTAGTATTGTTGAAGAAAGGATAAATGTTTATAGATTAAGTATATGACAAAAGAATGCTTGAAAACTGAATTAAATGGTTTTGTACTAATAACACTAAAATTCTTAGTGTCAGTAGTGCTAATCTATGATAAATTCACAAAGCTCTGAATGAAAGCACAGTACTTCCAGTGGCTGCCCAGGGACATTAAGTTAGATCCGTGTGCTATAACCCCTCAAGCTGCTGAAATACTCTTTCTGCATGCCAGTTCAAGAAGTGAACAGGGGTTAGGAAGAACTATAATGTGTATAGAAGTGTTTGGAAGCAAAACCAAGGACTTTCCCTTTCCCATAAAACAATGAGAAAAGGCAGAAAGAGAGTGATTGCACTGCACAGGACAATGAAGGTCTGTTCATGTGGATAATCATACTACTTTTCTATACAAAGCACTTTGTAACTTCAGTAAATAATTTTTTGAAGCCACCTACAGGAAATGTACTTAGTCTCTAATGCTCAGTCTCTAAAATGTAGCAAAGATAAGTGGAAATTTAAAAGCTTCTTAAATTTAAAAGCAAAGTGACTGTTCTAAAGGATCAATGCTTACAGCCTTCGAGTGTATCTTTCAGAAAACACCTTTCTGATATTGAAATACTTGTTACTCCTCACTGGCCCACTACCATGAAAGTCATAGCATATTCCTTTTGGTATGAACGTAGTCCCTTAAACAGTTTTTCCGGTTTTGTTTTCCATTTAACTAAAAATGCCGCCTTCAAAAATAAAGACAAATACAGTTGCAGTAGTAACCAGTGGCTTAAACTTTAAGTGGACACACAATGGTTGATTAAGTATGTGTTATAATTTCATAATGAAGACCCCTTTCAACAATAAGGCTGACGGCTATCTGTGGGCAAATATTTTAACTATAAGTCATATCTAAAATCTACAGAATGTTAATATGTTTTCTGTTTGAACAGTTTATAAATATTTTGCAAGGTACCATAATGCAGTATTTATCTTCAGTAACTTTTCAATAGACTTGTGTGTGTAATCTAAGATAAGAAAAATCAGTATCGATACTAATCTTGAGTCCATCTCTTTGGAAATTTTAAACAGTAAAAATAAAGCATTACTTAACCTCTGGGTTATCTGTCACTAACTAGAGAATACGTTTACTCTAACAGATTTACAAGTTCTTGAAAACAGTTTTAAGGATGAAATTAATGTTGCTAGCCCTTATGAAGAAAAGCAAAGGGAGGCTTCTCCCAGGAATACCCTCGGCACAGATACTGATTTAATTACTCAAGGACAGACCTCGGAAATCCATGTCACAGAGTGCAAAGAAGCAGAAAATCTAGGAGCAACATGTAGAATGTTACTGGATGAAAACAATGCAAACTTAGAACAAAAGCTACAGGACAGCACTGAGCCAGTGACAGCATGCCACACACAAACAAGAACAGTCTTTTTAGACAGTACTAAGGCTGTAGGTGCCTACAAGGAAAATGGAAGTCAGGGGACCGACCCCGGCAAGCAAGAATTGTGCAATACCACAGATGAATCAGTTTGTACTAAGGCAGATAAAAAATCAAATACCATACAACATGACAAAATTGTCCTTGCACCTGAAGCACCCAAAACAGAGTCTGAAGTAGTTCTTTGCACAGAGGAGAATGCTGTGTGTGAGCGAGGTATGGATAATCATCAAGCTAAGGAATTAAGTTTTGGCATCCTATCTTATATTAAAGAAAAGTCTCAAACAGAATACCAAAAATGTAGCTTGCTGGACAGTGACAATTATGTAGGCAATGGATTACATAAAACAGAAGAAAACTTGTTAAATCATCTGAGTGGTTTACAGAGAGATAAACATCCTTTTAAAGAGACACATGTAGATGCTGGAAACAGAAATTACGATGACAATGCCAGAAACATAAACAGAAATGGTGCACTGAGGAGTACTGGTGTTCCAGCAACTGATGCTCAAAATCTACCAACCATTTATTGTGATAATGCAACTGGTGATGATCCCACAAAAGAACAGAGTGATAATATGTGTCTCTCAGGTACTTTCGATTTATGCCTCCCAAAAAGAGAGAGAGGAATAAATGTGCATGACATGTGTAGCAAGCAGCCTGAACAAGACAGTACTGAACAAACAGAGAATGCTACAAATACATGTACTTTGAATGCTGAAGCCTTATCTCCAGTAAAGGCTGATGGTCTTGAAATAATTGCTCATGAAAAAACCCTGACAGACAGAATTAGTACAGATAAACTAATTCCATGTAAAAAAGTTAATGATGATATTCAGGTACACTCCATCAAAAATGGACATTCCCCAGAGATTAATAATTCAACAAATAACACATTGTTAAAAGAGAAGACAGACTCACTGAATAGTACAGTTCCAGGAAGGAAGTTTGCTGAGGGTCACCTGAAAGAATCATGCTCTTTACCCATGAGAGCATCTGGAAATTTAGTAAACATAAGTGGAAGGTCATCCTTTGATCTTTCAACCTCAGATAAAAAAGCTGAGAAAACTCCAGTACACTTAAATTTTTTAGACCTCAGTTCTTGTTCAAGAGTAAATCAAGTGAGAGGTCAAGCTACATGGACTTCAGCTTCCAAGGAACCTTCCCTTTTGAAAGAGAAAGTAGCATGCTTAGTGGAAAACACAAAGGTTTTTTCAAAAACACACTGTCAAAATCCCAGTGAAAATGTTGACAGAAAAGAAACAGGGCTAGGTAAGAAAAATAGGCATTTATGTTTTGAAGCATGTACTGAATATACTTAGAAAAGTCATCAAAATGTGAAATTGCTGTACCTAAGTTTAGTGTAGCATTAGAAAAATGTGAACCTTCTCCCATTTTAGTTATATGGCAAAAAAAATTGAAATATTATATTTCTCCATTAATTTATAGTATAAAGCAACTAAATGACTTTTGGTTTCTCAATTATCTGATTAAATAAACTTTTTCTCGTATTTCCTTTTGTGAAAGAAAAGCAGTGCAATGACAAACTGAATTTTTATAGGCATTTCTAACCCTAATGTAGAACATACTCTATTAGGGCTCTGCATATATCTGAAAAGTGCTGAGCAGCTTTTGGAAATTATTCAGTGTCCTCATTTTGCATAAAAGTTAGGGTAGCTTTTGAACCAGTAGATGCTTCTTTGAATGGGCTTAAAGAAAGTTTACTTTTTTATTTTCTGGTACATCTTTAATTCAGATGGACACTTAAAAGCACCTGAATGTGTTGAATGTGTGAAAAGAGAAATGTGTATTCTTTGAAGCTCTGGAAAATGCACCTAGCTGTTAAGAGGAGTGCTCAAGGAGCTTTTTCATCTCCTACTATTGGCACTTGGTAATATTTGCTGAGCAATATTTTGCATATGCAAAACAATAAATATGAACTTTATTCCACATGTTTCTAAATCATTACTGAAATGTGGAAAAACTGTATTTTAATTTGTTTTGCAATAAAATTAGCTGCTAGATTACCCCTATATTTATTTACTAAAACTGCCATTTCTAAACTCAATCTTTCAGGAAAGTAATAAAAGTATCATCTCTATTTCCACAGTAAACTGACTCCCATACGTTTACAGATGTTCCTCTACTTCGTAAACTGGATGGAGTAAAAGACAGTATAAGTGGTGCCTTCCTTTCTCAAAATAAAGCTTGCATGTAGATTCTATTCTTAATGCATGCTGTAAGTTTAAAAAATCAGATGATCTCTTAGGCTCTGGAAGAAATGAAAGCCCCTGCTTTTGTAGAAAGTGAAGCTTTGGGTGCTCAGATGTTTTTCAGAAGAGCTAGACCCACAATTTAGGGTGTTTGTGTCTATTTGGAGTTTTGTTGATGTAGTGTTTTGAGCTTTGCCCCCTGACCATACGAAGAGCAGAATGGACTTCCATCTCTTAGTTTTCCAGCCAGTGGCAGTGAGACAGAAAACCAGCAGTCTGGTTTCTTTATATTGTTCTGGTGTTATGAATTTAGGTTTATAGATAATTTCGTTTCTGTACTTGGTCTCTTGCCTATGTATGTTTGTATACAGACGCACAATTTTTTGAAGTTCAGTTGCAGAAAAGTCTTTGTCCATAAAACAATAGTTGTAGTAGCAAGGTAGCAGAATGCTGATCTCAGATGGTACATTATTTCTTTTAATAATGTGAATTTTGATACCTGTTTCAAGAAAATGAATGCATAGTTATGTGATGTTCTGCATATATCTTTTCTGTAAGAACAGACAGCACTATCTGAAGTTCTTCCATGTGTTTCTCCTCCTTTTCTTGTCAGGAACCTTTCTGTATACAAAGTACTGTAATTACAAGAAGTGACTCCGAGAGGTTCATCCAAAGGAGTTGGTAGGGATTTTAATATAACTTTAGTTCTCCAAATGAGTTGCCTAGTGACCAGTACAGTCACCAGACCTCTTGAATTCTAGCAAAATTTCACAGTGAGGATCTTGGTGTGGGTCCCAGATGTGCCTCACACTCTCATCATACTGCCTAATTTGGATTGCTTCAGCTTGCTGACATCTCTGAATCCTGCAGCTTTTTTGGAGACTAGAGAAACTTACTATCAGGGCACCTAAGAGTCATTGTGGTACTCAGCACTGCAGCTTCCAAGATTTATTGTGGTTGGGTTTGGTTTGGTTTTGTTTTCAGAGATCTTCCCAAATGGCAAATGTGGAGTGGAATCCATGTGGACAGTGTCCCTACATTTTTTTTTTAATGATTTTTTTACTTGCTGAAGCACAGTTTAGCCATATGGAAAACTAGAAGTGAAGAGCATTGGTGAAAGAGTTTAGTAAGCCTAGCTGAGGGAATTCCTTTTACTGCCTAGCAACAATGCAGTTTACTATTTATACAACTCTGGTTCCCAGAGAGCAGCCACTCCACATCAGTAAATGGAGGAATGAACTGGGAATGGGCAAGATCTTCCTGGTGAGCTCTTAAAAAAGAAAACAAACATGAACTCATAACCATTTTCCTCTTCCTCCCAAGAGAAAATGACAGTATTCTTAATTAACTGTTACATAACCATGAGGTAACATGTATTTTCATAGCAAAACAAAGATTTTACTATTGTAGCAGTGATCGACAAGGCATCTGTGTAGTGACAAAACAGCTACTGTTTGCATTATGAGTAATTGTGAAAGTATGCTTAGGTTTTGATCTTGCAAGGAACTCAATACTGGTTTCAATGGAGTCTACTAGCAGTGCATAAAGCCACTGCAGGATTAGAGCCTTATACTCTGCTATGATTAATCTACTTATTTGCCCTTCCTACCTTTAGTAGACAGCTATAGGCTGATTTCCTGCAATATTAGGTATAGCCATTTACAAAAAGACTCCTTGCTTAAAATGTTCTTTGTCTAAAAACCTTTGCATTTAGAATGTCTTTTTTATTACAAGTCACCCTGGAACATGATGTCAGGATGCCAGTAATTACTTATTTTATTATCATTATCAGAAGGTGAGTCTTAAAGTAATACTGTTTGAAAAAAATGTATTTAGTTAGAATATTCAGAATACATACATTTTCTATGAACTTTCTGATTTAAAGAATTTAAATTTTCTATTTTAATTTGTCATTAACTTAATATGTAAAAATGATACAAAACATTTTTAATCGGGGTAGAAACATACCTCATCTTTAGAGACAAAATAGATGATGTGAAAGAAAAAAATGAAGAGGAAAAACCCTACAACAGAGATTCAGTGATGTAAAACAAAAATATTTGATTTTTTAAGATCAGAGGTAAACCAGAAGTTTAGTTACTTTACAATTAGTGCCTAGAGACTAAATTGCAGTTGTTACCATTTCCTTTTTGTCAATCAGATTCTACCAGTTTTAACAGAGCTGCCGACACTTTGAATACCTCTAGTATCCACCAAGACCCCCAGGGAGACCCTGGTGAAGAATGGAATGCTATAGCAAAGACTTTTTATGATTCTTCTTTTCCCACAGAACATGTAAGTCAATTAAAAATATTGCGGACCAGACCTCAGTGAGCTAATTCCACAGATATTTGTACAACTGTATGCATCTGGATACTTTAAGACTGAGTCAATCTCCAAAATAATATCAAAAGGGCAACAAGGCACCATTTTTCACAATTAAGGTTGATAGAAAGCAGCAGGAAAAAGTCACAGCATATGAATCAAACAGATGCTAACCAGTCTGTTGGGGAGGGGAGGAAGAGGGTAGTTCATTGTGTACCCTAATAAAAATCATCACCTGCAGTAAAAGTAGGAGTTAAAAAAAAAAAAAAAAAGTAGTATGTGAAAGTATAAAAACAGTTTCCTTTATTACGTGATATGAACAGGTTATTTAAAAGAATCTGTGAAAGACTGAAAACTCAGCGTATTTATGAATTAGAGCCTTTCTGTTTATTCTATGCTGCAGTTATGTGATGCCATATTTATAGTTATCTTATTATTTAGTAGGATGACATGACACAAACCTGTGTAAAAGCAAAGAATTAAAAAAAGAAACCTATTGTTTCCCTGTAAGACAACTTCATTCAGGATTGCACTAGCAATGGCTCATACTGTGTTTTTAGATCTGTGTTAGACTGTGGAGCTTGAACAGCTATAATTGCTGTATTAGGATTTGACCTAATGCTAAACATGTTATTCAAAAGTGATACAATAATTTACAACTGCAGTTGACCTTCCTTTTTAGAAGAGGTTCTAGAGGTATTTCTCAGGTAGTTATGGCTGTCTTCTTTGGATGAGGTTTGAGGTCAGGGTGGATAGTGTTTTCAAGTGACAAAGTTAGCTGATTTCAGTGGACTTAATCAGCTCTCAGTGCCATTAGCATTCACATTCTCTGAATTCAGAAGTAAAGACTGATGTTTTAAATTACGCTGCTTTCCTAACATGACTCTACTTGGGAATGACACTGAGGTGGATTTTTCACCAAACATAGTGGTGGTATTTACTGGGTCTCTCTTGCTTTTTCTCACTGAGGTGGAGCCAGGAATTGAGTGAACTAAAATACCAGATCTACGGCTAATACAAAGCTGTATTTCATTATCTGATTGTGGTTATATATCTACTCTGTCACCTCCAAACTAAAGCTCCTGACGTGCTAAGTAAAAGCTGAGAGGGACAAGACCAGAGTGCCTTGCTGGTTTGACCTTAGATTATTTTCCAAATACTTAATCTATGAAACCTCAGCCTGGAATATTGCAGACCAGTCTCTCCTGTGTCATTCTAATACCTTCTGTCCTCAAATTTTTATGACTGATAGGAAAAAGCTGTTGGGAGATTAAAAATAGGTTTAGCAGTCATTTATGCTGCTCAGTTTATTTGTTTTGACTAACGTGTACAATTATAACTAGAGCAGACTTATGCCTTCTACAATTTGGGTAATCTCATTCAACCAAAGTACAGTACTCCAAAAAGTGCTAAAAATGTGAAAGAAATGCTACAGGTGCATTTGAAGCAAAAATATTAAGAACTGTTTTAAACATTAGTCTGTACATGCCTGAGTACCAATGAATAAGCATCCTCAGCTCAGTTTAAACACAAGTCCCTAACCATGTAGTCATACTGTTCAGCAATGAGTGTTTTTTACACATACATGTCCCATAGGTCCCATATTACTCAGTGCTGGCAGTGAGACACATTTTTTACTTGTATTTTATTGTGAAAATGCTGAGGCCATTTAGTTTGACAGCTGAGATTATTCTTTTTAAAGCTTTACTCTAAACCCACCGTCACAGAACTGTATTAAAATGCTATATATATTACCTAACTGCAATTACTTCTCCAAAGAGGTCTAAACACTTGTTGTCTTCAGTAAAATCCAAGTAACATGGCATGGCTTTATTTCACTGGAAAAATTCACTTGCAGATGTGGAAGACCTAAATGAAAGTTTTTCTCTTGGATTTATCAGTACAGGATATGCTAGTCCATACAGATTTGACTAGTGGCTTGCAATGAAGTATGATCTGTCTCTTTCTGAGGCCTTGGGAAAGAGCATGGGAGAGTGTAGAATTAACAGGTTGAAAATTTTATTGCTCAAATGAAGAAGTTACTTCCTCACTGAAATGGATATTACTGTCATTGACCTGAAGTATCAGTATCTTCAGTTGCATGGCAGTAATGTTACAGATTCAACAGGCTAAGCAAACAATTTGCATGAAGTTTATTGTTCATAGTTCAAACTTAAAGAAATGCTTGTGTACTGGGGAGGGAAAGTTTTAGCACAAAATTCATGTGCTAAAATAAAGGCAGGCCTGATGATGACTTTGTGGCTTACAGTTTGCTGGGGCACAGTTGCTTAATATTAAAAAAATAATTGAGCAGAGGGGGAAGGCCTCATCTTGCAATCCCTGTACAAGAATGACCCTAGCAAGCAACCAACGTATTAGATGTCACGTTAGAGATCCTCAAGAACCCCGGCAACACTGGCTCTGTGTAACATGGCTTTGTTGTCCACCTGAGCTCAGGCACATGGCTGGTGCTGCCTGCCGGCCTCCCCAACAGCCACACAATGTTGGATTACAAGTGGAGAACTCATAATTCAAGCAAAAAACTGCTTCCCTACTGTGTTGCCTCATGTGTTTGATTTGGATAGATATGAAGTATCTATCAAATAGTAATTTAAAAAAATCTTTAACATAAAACCCCAACCTATTACAGACCTTGCATTAGTTAATGATGTTTGCTTTCTAATCTATACACTGAAGCAGAGAGGGAGTTAACACCATAAACCTCATGATTTTGGGTTTTGTTAATCAAATGCTTGCATAGCAATAGAAATGTCAATTGCAACATTAAACTGTTTAATGAAACTATTTATTTTGCTAATCTGCATTCTAGTACAAGGTTGTCTTTTTTTTTAATCATACTCTTCTGTACTTACGTGTCTTACGTTAAGGTTTGGTTTATAAAAGTATATTTGTCATTATTGAGTTTTCTAAATTAAAGCTGAAGCAAGCACTTCAAATTAAACCTATTTTTTCCAATTTTTTTCCAATTGACTTACCCTTCTGTTCACAGCTCCTTGCTTGCTTAATGCTCAGCAAAATCCCAACAGTTTGAATGTTTGCACCTGAATTTCACTGGATTATTAACTGCTAAGTTTGTATTCTGTCAGGTGAAAGGATTTACTGCTTTACAGCATGAGCAGAAGTCTTCTCATATGACTGTAACTCCATCAAGAAGTGAAAGTGCACTCAGAGATGACAACAGATGTTCTATTCATAACTCCAGTATACAAAACCAAATAGAAGAAATTGAGAAATTTCTGAATTTGGAGGGACTTCATTCAGCAAGAAAAAGAAAATATGAAGAAAGCCAGTGAAGATCAGAGGCAGGAGATAAAAAGCATGGTTTTTAGGCACTTACATAAACCAAATTTGTAGAGGTATTCCTATAGAATATGGCATATATGCACTGTGCTTTCATGTTAAAAAAAGGTCTATATGCTGTATTGATATTAAAAAATGGATACAATCTGCAAATCCAAGTTACTATGGGTTTTTGCCCTAAGCTAAAAAGTTCACAAGTTAATGTTTTAATATCCATTAAGAAAAATTACTACTTAAGAGTACTCTGATCCTGCTCCTCAGAACTTTTGGCTGAAATACTTCAATTTGGTTTCTCTGTCAGACTGCTTACTCAGTTTTCAAGCAAAATCAGCTGCAACTGTTTCAAAATACAAAGGTTTGTACAAACATTTACAACTTGTAGCAGTTTTAAGTGGCAGAAGAACAGGAAAAAATTTCTGCTTACCTTTACTGCCAAATTATTTAAATATATCTGTTGTAGTTGATTCTGCATCAATAAGGTCTCTTTCAACACTAAAGCGTCAGGTATGATTTACAGCAGATCTTGCTTCATAAAGCTTCAGTTCTAAGTGGTTCACATTTTTCCTCCCTTAGGGTACAGGGGAAACGTTCTCTTACTTTACAATTACTCACAACTATCCTTTTTCTGATCTCCCTCCCTTCCTCCCCACACCTCTTGCAAAGAAAGATCCTCATATTGTAAACTTAAACAAGAACAAAAGAAGCATAACCAATACTGCTACTACTTGTTGTTGCTAATTATGTAAGAAAGTCAACAGAAGATCTTTTTCCATGTTAGTTTTATTGCTTTTTTGGTGTTGCAATTTAGAATATTTAGCTGCTTTAAACCAATTGCATACATTTTGGAAACATTCACAAATTGTCAACGTTTGGAATAAATTTCATCTATAGTGACATTACTACATCAAAAAAAATATTTTAGGTGTCTGAGAGACTGAGGAGACTGTTTTTCACTTGATTCAAATTTTGTTTCCAGGTGTTTAGAGTGTCATACAATTGCTGCCATTGTTGCTTTCCAAAAGTCCGATGCGTGCTGTGACTAGAGAAGTAAAACAAAATTGGAAGATGATTACTAGATGTCATGTTCACCTAATAATTCTTTTATAGCATTACTTTACTCTCACAAGTGAATAGGAAAAATTTTATTTTCTCTATATAAAGGGCTGCACTTGACCAGTTAAGAGAATTCTGTAGCCTTCCCAAATATTTAAAGCAACAACAGTCATTAGTATTCTTGTCACTATTAGGTCATTAAATGAAATGTGCTGGAAAATAGGACTCTTTCATTAAATAAGCTAATCACATTCAGTGTGAGCTTTAATAAAATTATGATAAATAGCAACTATTTAACTACCAGCAACTGATAGGAACAATACCTTGCTTCTTGTTAAAATATTCTACACATGTAAGTGAAATAATTAGAACACACTAAGTTCTGCAAAATGCTATGAAGAATTAAGTCTTACCTGACAACTACTTTCCTCTGTGTCTGATCTATTTTGCAATATACCATCTTTGTCTTTACAGCTGCAAAAAAGCAATCCTGTTTTGAGCAATATTTTCAAAAGATATCGCAAAGGTATTAAACTGCATGAAAACTGTTCAAAATTAGATCAATATAAACATAAACCCACAGTAGTTCACTTAATATTGTTTTCCTGTTGGTTTTAACAGTCTAGTAGGCAGAAAAGCAAAATGGTGTAACAAGATGAAGGTCATGCATGAATCCTATTGTTTGGTGCCAATCTATTAAAGCAATATCCTGTACAGTTTTTATGAACTTCTCTCCCCTACAAACACATCCTGTTTTAATGACAGCAAACAAAACCAGATGACAAATTAAACCCGCAAACAATTAATTAGTTCTATAAAGAATTACGTGAAATACAGTTCTGTCACTGAAAAGAAAAACACTGTTTAAAAGACAACAGTTAGGCATGTCTTTAAGCATGAAGTTCTGCAGCTATATCTTGTAACAAACACAGAAATTAAAAATCAGTATTTTTCTGCATATTTAACATAAACTTAGAAGACTATAAAAGGTATTGTTCATTAGTGTTGTGTAAAGTATGGTACTACAGTTCTTACCATCAATAACAAATGGTTCTACATCATCAGCTCCAATCTGAAGTTCCTGTTGCATTGTGTCAAATGATATTTCTTTATTCTCTACAGCCATTCCCATGAACGTAAGTAGCCTCATTTTTGCCATATTGTGTTCGTGCAACAAGCCTGTGTAGAAGTGTGGATAGTTTATGGGTATGAATTATAATTCAGTAATTCATTAATTTGTTTTTCATGTTATTTTTACTATATATGCTTCCAATAATTTAAAATGTATTTCACATCAAGAAAATATTCCACCTGTCCTTATCAACATTTTTTTGAGGTAAAACATTAATTTCCGCATCTACCTTGTGTTTTGCTAAAATAGCTACTTTTGTTGTGAATTCATCAAGACTCAGTTGTTATCAGTCAAAGGTAATAAATATCTAAAAAAGTGAAGCACAGCGCTTTTTTTGAAACAGTAAAAATACCACCTTAACAGAATTTCAGGTGGTGAGGTTGCAAGTGAATTTTTCAGTTGCATCATCTGGAAGAACAGCAATGCAACAACAAATAGAAAATGCATGACTGGTAATGTCAAAACCTTCTTACAGCCTCACTGCTCATTCTCATGCAGCTGCTTGAAAATTAAACCTCTCTCAGTAATGGTTTAGCAACATAACATTTTTGTGCTAGAAGAATATGTTTTGGCACCCAATTCACTGTTTATACCAGAGCAAAAAGCATTATGAGTCACACGTATGCTTACAGCATCTAGCGTGGCAAAAAAAGTGCTCTTTGAGAATAGAGGAACAAATATTAAAAGTTAGGTTAGATCTTTTACATGATTGTATCAATGACAACACAAGGAATTGAGCCAAGGCCCTGCACATCTAAATCAGAGACTGTTTTCCTGAAAAAAGTCTAAGTCAACAATGTTAAGACATTCAGATGAACTAAGGCATTTCTTAATCCAAGTTCTGTGAGGTACTAACTAAGATTAAGTGGAAGTTTCTTTAAAATGAATGTCAATCATTTTGTTTTGGAATGACATTATAAACATTCACATTGCTTCAGTAAATATTTAAGTTTAGAATTTATAACATCCATACACTAATAGGAAAGCACATTAGTGCAGGACATCATGTTGTGTTAATTAGCTGTAATTATGATGCAGGTTCCCTATTTGGCACTGATTCAACAAAAATGTGATCACCATAATTCATACGAATGAGGAGCACCAGCAACTATACCTAACTGGGTTTAATGGAACTCTACAAGCATCAAAAAATCAATTAGCACACATTAACCCTAATTAACAAATGCAAATGAGATGCTGATTAACTTTCTGAAAAAAACTGCTGATAATACCATGTTAAATGTGGACATGTTAGGGCGATTCACTTGACACAGATAATGCTACTGCTGGCCTAAGTTGTCAGTATTAATAAAACCACAAATTGTAACAAACTGATGCCACCTGTAGGAGCCTTCACTGCACAGCTTTCCTAGACTAGCTTTAATTGGTCCTGATCCAGGAAAGGTCAGAACTAAAGCTGATGCTGTACTGTCACTGAAATCCTATTATTAATACCCTTTAAAGTCCAATATCTTGGCAAGTTATTTAAAAAGAAAAAAAATATCTTTAAAACATGGTTAAAAATCTATTTATTTTGGGGAACAGATCTGAGGTGTTCTGAAGAATTTTTGAATGCCTCATCTAATAATTGTATGGTTTTCTATTCCAAACTGCCCTTGTTTTCCAAAGGCATAGCTGAAACATTCACACTGAGTTCCTAGCATTCAGGTATGCACTGCCTCAGAATCTCTACTTTGTCCACTGCTCAAAGACATTCAGAGTTTTCTGAATACACCATAAAGCAGGTGAGAAATCAAGGTAACTGGAAGTAAGGCTGTCTTTCAAAACACTTACACAGATATTTAGGGATTTCATTAAGATTATGTGAATCCTAGATGTATTGGAAATGCACATACTGTATATTCACAAAGGTAAACATGGATACAGGGAGGCAAAGCAAAAGAAATCATGACTATTGTATATTACACAATTAATACTACGTATACGTGTAATTAATCTTCCACAAATTTATTCAAACATTGCCATAACAGCATTTTCAGCCAATACTTCTGTGGACAAATAACTAACCGATAAGCCATTTCAATACATAATAATAATTACAATACAAAACACACTTTCCCCTAAGAAAGAAAAGCATAAGATGTCTACACAACTAATGTTCAAATACATACGACAAAAAGTATGCTTATCCTAGATACACATTTACAAACTACCAAAAACTTCCTGATAATTTTATCCACAAAAGATCACATTGATATTTCCATCATTTTAATACCCAAAGTACCAGCACTTTAAAGCTTTGAGGGTAATTATTCTCAGAATTATACCACACTCCATTAAACAAAATAATGCATGTGTTAAAAGGCTGCACTAAACTCTGTTTTAGCAAAACTATGCCTTTCCTCAAATACATTCTGACAGTGTTCAAGTGCCATTTCAAAATCAAAGTTACACAAAAAAAAAAAATCTGATTTTTATGGAAACATTTATTCATTACCAATATGTCAAAACCTTAATGCAGTAATAAAAAAATCTGCATCATTGAGCAATTTCTGCATTGTCACTGACCCTTGTCCTAAAAAGCTGGAATATAAAAAATGTAATTTTAATGCATGCAATAGCTTATGAACCAGTGCTCCTTTGAAACAGTCAATTACACATCAACGGGGGAGTGTCAAAGTGTTAATTACTACTCCTTTTTTCCACAGTGTGTAAATAAAGAGGGTGCTGACATTAACATTCCATCACATTGCTTCATGTGATGAAACAAATTAACTGGGACAGACTGTGGCTTGCTAGGTCTAATGCATCAGCACATGCACACACACACAATCTGCATGTTTTATCTTACTGTTCAGGAGAATATAACAGAAATTTGCTGTTATAAAGTTACTAATCACAAAAAACTTGTAAGAGATTTATACAAGCTGCTGGCTTACTCAATAAAGTTGTGCTCTCTGGCCTAGCCTGGAGTACCAATGCATTAAAACTCCCTTCCCAGAAGGTTTAAGAGAAAAGAAACGGGCAAAACCACAGTTCTCTCCCAAACCCATAGAACACCTTGTCCTAGTAGAACAGTTAGATGGTCCATTTACGATCTAGTAGAGGATAGAGTGTACAAACTCCAATCTATTCTTAAAAATTCCTATTAAATTTCCTTAGCTTCAACATATGGGTTCAAACTGAAGCACTTTGTGGCTTCCATATCTTAAGCCATGTAAATAGTCAGAAATGTAATGATCTGAAAACTTACCAAGGGAGTCAATGAAGTCTTTGTTGTTCTGATAAAACTTGACATAGGATGCTAGTTTAGCACTTACAAAAATTGTCAAAAGCTAGAAGATGAAAAACAAATATAAGAACAGTTTAAATATCGAGGTTTCCCTCCCTGCAGACTGGACAAATACATACATATAAACTATTGGTATTGAACAGAAAATAAACTGTTAAGAGCTAAAATTCTGTATTCTGTCAATAGCTGAGGGCCATCTGTGCTGATTCTTTTTCTCAGACTTGAAAGGCAGTTTTGCTACAGAACTCATGCGAGGGCAGGATTTGTAACTCTGCGTTTCTGAAACTTCTAAAGGGAAACATTTCACGTGTAATATTTTGATTTTTTAATCCTAAAAGCATTAAAAGAAACAGTACATTGCAGTTCAACATTACTGACATAGATAACTATTCTAATGTATTGCAAAAGACACTAATAAAACAAGGCACTCTACAGATATCAAACCATCTTGCTAAAAACAAAGTTACTTACATCATGAATAAGTTCTCCTTCCAAAAATTTGACTGGTTTTAAGGCAAGAAGATGATCAAAGAGAAAGGTATTTGGATCCTTCAATGCTCGTACAATACATCTAATCAGAAAAGGAAAATGCTTATTTTTACAGCAATACACCTTTTCATGGGTAAGCACAACTTGTCCTTCCTTGCTTTCTAGGAAACACCCAAGGGTTTTCAACTGTTCTTAAATGCAAGACATCTCACATTCCAATTTTAATCTTCATTTTACAGATGGAAAAAAAAAAGGAACAGAAAGCATTAAGTAATTTGTCCAGTATCACAAATGAAATTTGCCAGGTGGTAAGACTACAGATCACCCTACTGTTTCCATCTATGCATTTATTTCCAGCCCAGCCTTCATTCCTAGAGGTATTTTTACTGTCCTCCTAAAATTTCATAGAATTAAGTTGTTTAGGAAGATTAATTATACTTGGAATACGTGACACAAAACAGAGAAAACCCCAATACCAAACACTGCAAGGCCTATGATTTATCAGTTGCAGCTCCAGACTATAAACAGACCTAAAGTGTTTCTAGAACTCTGGATCAAAGCTTTTGTACAGCGGCACATGAGAAGACTTAGTGCTACACTCACTCTGAGGGCCTACACCGCAACCCTGCCACATAACATACACCCAGAAGAACGTACGGTCTGCACAGACACAGCAGTGGCATGAACGCGAGGCAGACACCTTCTTTCAGATGTAAAAGGCGTCCAATTGCTGTAGGGTAGTCAATGAAGTTTGCATTTATGCACTGACACTTTAATTTTCAAAATGAGTCATCCTGATTTTCCTCCACGCTCAAGTATAAACAACTTCCTTGAGAACTACTTGCTGTACACACCTGGCAGAACTACACGACTTACTAAAAATGTAATTCCTAAGAAGAATCATGACAGGTAGAATGTCAAAATAGAAGCTTTTACTCGTTTTGGCCAGTGGGGAAAATACACTCATCCAACATGTAACTTTATTTCTGTGCAGTTCACATCCTTAGTAGAAAGAGAGCAAGATTTTCTTTTTGACAGAAAGCACTATTTGAAAAGAACACCCAAAGTTAGAGAATCAAACAATCAGTAAGTAAAAAATCTGAAATAAAGGATGCTAAGTTAAATTTTGATTGCACAGTTGATGTAAACGAAGTCCTTACCCAATACTGATCTCTCTCTCTCAACAGTGACCAGAAACACACCTGTGCACTTGCATGCCTAGAAACAATCACACCTACTGTAGACTGCACAGATAAACTCTTCATCCAGTCAGCCGTGCTATAGAAAAGAGGCTGTGGCAGGGCTCTTACCTGCCAGGCTGTCCCATGCTCTTAATAGTAAGGCGCTCAACATACTTTAGCAGTTGAGAAAAAGCTGCTTTTATGGAAACCAGGAAGTCAGTATTACCTGTGAGCATCGACTCTAGCCTGGGAAGCATTGTCCTCTGTGTAACTTCCCAGAAGTTCCACCATTACTTTTGCTGCAGTGTCACTACAGAAGAAAAATAAAGTTATCTTAGGATTCCTGAAAAAGCAGTTCAAACAAGACACTCAAATATTTAAATAATTCCATTATGATGTTATAGGTCAAATTAAATTACACTTGAAAAAGAAGTAGATGATCCATTCTAATTCTAGTGGAGAGAACAGATTAACTAGATGTATTCTTTCAATTCTTGTTCTACAAAATGTTTATCTTCACCCTTCATTTCATTCTCTTAAATTGATAAATTACCTGCTGGTTATGGAAAAAGCTTTCTGAGCTAGGAACAGCTTTATGTGGTTCACTAGAATGCTCCTCTCATGCACATCTGGATTTAATCATTGCAGAATAAGTAGCGCTGCAAAGTTTATTTCAAATGTAAAATGGCATATCTTAAAGAATATTTATGGTCAGGAAAATGACTGTATAAAAGCTGCCTTTTCTTCTTTCACAGATTCTCTCTTCTAGTAATGAGAGTGAGAGCTGCTCATTTTACTGACGAAGTTAAGCAGCCAGCAATTAATTGGCTTAGGCTGCTATGAAGCAAGCAGCTTCCAACATTGCTTTGACAGACAGCTTTTAAAAACCCAATTCATTCCATGAAGATTGAGTAAACCTATAGCCTTGTCTACCCAGATTATTTTGTAAACAACAGGTCATCAACATTACTGCAAACCAGCTCTGAGACCATGACTGTGTCACTTTAACAGATTGTGATTTATTTTCACATAACAGTTCTTACCACTAGCAAGGCTAGCAACTGCTGATGCTTTTTACAAAATTTGCAGAAGAAAATATAGAGATTGAATACGCTTTTGTATACACACAAAAAGCTATTTCCTATCTCTCATGGAATTCTTGTTAACTATTAAAATAGAAGGCTGTGACAGTTCTCCTATACAGAGGACAGATTTTGCGGATGCCGTCTTACTACTTCCTTTGAACAAGATAGGGTGTGGATGTAGATATGGCCAAAACTCAATAGTGAGAGCACAACCAAAACTTGGAAACGCGAGCACATGCTTTGCAGAAGTCTCCCATGCACATACACAGGCTGGCAACCACTTTACTAAGATGTACTTTCTCAGTGGACAGGAGGAAGGTGGGATACTACTCTCCAGAGTACAGCGAGTCATAGCGTAAAGCTAAGCTCTTCCTTCAAAGTAGCCCATTTCCAGATACAACAAATTTCCCCGTGTGGTCTAATAGTCCTACAAAATTTTCCTTAAAAGAAAAAAACCTGTGCAAGAGTAAAGTTTCAATTTGCTTTAGTTACTTAAGTTAATGGCATAAATTGCACAGGGAAGGAACAAACCAACACAATGCTCCCAGTACGTACTGTGCCGTGATACAGGTTTAACCCATATAGCAGCACAGGTCTGAAAGGTTTTTATAGTACAATGACACTATCTTTATATGGGTATTTATTTTAAATCTCACAATATTACTATTTGACAACTTCTCTATAGGGTGAGGTTTTGTGCTCCTAGAGAATTTACCAGATCTCATAGATGTACAGTACAAATAATTAAGACATCATGGGAAACAAGCAATATCATATATAATCTGGATGTACATTGAGGGAAGACAGTTCGTGCCCAAGGCAGGGAAATTGTCTATAGGTCCCAGCCCTTATTCCAGAACTGTGTTCAGGGATGTAAACTCGAATGAAACATTTGGTTTAGGACTCCAACATTAAAGAGGTCAGCTTATGTTTTGTCGTGGCAACTGATACTGGTGTGTAGAGGAACTGATAGCTCTGTATCAGTGAAATAAAAATCAGTTTAGACAGCTTCATATATGACAGCACCATTTGCATGTAAATCAGTCTATGACAGACTGATTTTTGCACTGGTGAAATCTTATCAACACTACATATTCCAGTGAAGACAAAGAACCAGTTTAATGCAGGACTGACACTGTACAGACATTCAAACAAAGAGGCTCAGCTCATGTGCTATTCAACCTAACAATACAAGGCTCCTTATTTAATATAAGCTTTCAGTAGTTGTTCTTACACACTTCAGAACTGTGTTACAGATTTCTTCTCCTCCCCCTTCCCTTAGGAGCAAAAATTGAAAACTATGGAATCTTTCACTTACATTTCTAGGAAACATCAGAATGCTACAAGACAATTACTCCCAAACCTTCTGTGCTAAATTCTTGTGAGCCTCAGCAAATACAACAAGCATTTTAATTTTACTCATTCTATTCAGTGTCAAGATTACTACCATAAATTAGGATGTTTAAGGCAGTAATACAGATCACTATTTTACCAAAGCTCATTGCTAAATGTGTATCTCACCAAAGATGCAAACGTGAACATTTTTTTCCTAGCAAGACTGCTTGCACAAGTACTCTTGGCTGCAGCTGCCAGTCTAGATGTGTAACTTGACAAAAAGCCAGTGAGAACTGAAGAGCGACGGTAGGTAAAAAGAAAAAAAAAAAAAATACACAGTATTCAGAGACTTAGTAAGATGTTGGAATCAAGTCCCTCGGCATTACATGATATTAAATGGAACTACAATTAAATGAAACAATTATTTTGCAGGTGCCTGACATGCGGAGCTTTTTGCTACAGGTATTCATAACCAGACTTGCCAGACCTGTTTGAATGTAAACTTGGGCAGGACTAACCCCACGCTGAATCCTGCCCGGTAAATGGCAGAGGTCAGCTGTAAGCTGCATCAGGCTGGCGCCTGGCAGGGCCTCACAGCAGAGCGCAGCACTCTGGGTGCATGCAAGCCACGCACGCCTGTAAAACTCCATCTATAACTGGAAAAGAAAACAGGTTGTGTTACCTTGCAGTTTCATACCAACACAGCTAGGAAAAATGCTGAAGACTAAAGCAGCTGAGGCATAAAACTCTACTGCAGAACCTTTATGGCAAGAAGCATAAACAGCAGAGAAAGTAACTAATCTCTTGCAAAGTTCAGCTACCAAATACAGGTCTCAGAAACAAGTCACACCAGCCATCTGTTTTCCAGCCACCACCACCAGTTTTTCTGCAGTTGATTATAGGAAAGAGAAAAATCCCTCTTCGAAGAGATCAAGATGATTTTGATCATCAGAAGAAGAAACTTCAACCAGAAAGTGACTGGAAAAGATTTGATAAAACATGCTTTCACTTATCACTGCAGGAAAAAGAAAACCACACATAACATCTGCATGATCTGCTTTTCATGAGCTACCAAACTGTTCACTACCAACTTATCCATTGGGAAAAAGACTATTAGCTATGGAAAACCATCTCTTCTGCCACATTGAGTGAAGTTAAAAAAATTAAACTTACTTGTTTTCAACAATGTATTCTTTTCCTTGATTATAAATCAACACGGTAACTGAGGTAACTGATTTTTATTACTTATTTTTCAGTTCCCACTTATCTTCCCATACTGCTAGATACAGCAACATTCCTGAGTGCTAAAGCTGGAATGCTGCTGTGAGTTTCCCATACTATTGCAAATACTGCCCACTGATCCAGGAGAGTGAACCAGGTCAAAGGTGCTAGGGTCACTTCTTGCTTTCTTTTTGGGAGAGAAGTGTAAGTGCTCTGAAAAATTGCCCCATTCAGTACAAAGCTTGCTGCAACAGATGGTGAGAACACCGAGTGCAGGAGTAACATATTACAGCATTTGTGAAAGTTTTTAATGCCTAACTTAAAAATATCACCTATTATTAGTAAGCAAAAACCATTTGGTAGCAAGCTTACTGGTGGCACTGCAAACAAAAATCTGAAGTTTAATCCACAGATTTGATAACAAGACCACCTAAAAATAGTTAGCTATTAAGTATGGGTATTAAGCTAGTTAAAACCTCTCAATAAATCAATAGAATGAGAAGTGTTTAAAAGAGCAGGAGCATTACAGAGTATCAGTGTAATATTTCTGAAACAAAGTAAGCACTAAGCCATGTATAAGATCTCCAATTAACATTTCTGAAATTATTTTGACCATCTGAAATCTGTCATACTGTACTATCAATGCAAAAGCATTTCAGTCACAGGAACAGGAATTCCCAATAACATCGTAGCTCACAGTGTAACTACTCCACAAGAATTAATCATCCCTAAATTGAGGCTAGTTAAAAATGATCCTTCTACGCTGACGCAGCATTTCCAGGCTACAATTTCACCAGGCCAGAAAAAGCTAACTCTCTTGCCAGAAGAAACTCTCCGCCTCCTACGACAGCTCCACACTTGCCTTTTTTAACCCCTGGCAAGGCCACCTCCCCAGTCCAATCCACCGTGCAGTTGCACAAATGCCCACACGAGCACACACACACAGAGGTACTGGTAGCTGGAGGGAACAGGACAGGAATGGGGGGTACAGAACAGAACTGCTTCCTTCTGCAACAGTACAAAGTTATGCAAATATAGGAAACGCACATGCAGTTCTACCAGTGTAAGTCAGCGGTGTAGAAGTCCTGATGCTGCCTCACTATGAAAACAAATTTGGAAAACTAACTCAGAAAACAGTGGGAAAGGGAAGGGCAGGGGGAAGCAACCCCACCACCCCGCTGCCCCATCCCAAACTACAGCAGGGACAGTTTAGATGGGCTGCAATGGTTGTGGGACTACATGCTGAAACTACTCCTGGATACCAGCCCACCTCTATGGCCCCAGCCAACACAGTCAATACACCATATCACATCTGTAAGATAAACTGATGACAGCTCTCAGTTAAGACCTACATTAATTTACAGGCACGATACACACAGGATTACTTTACATGCCAGAAGACACTGGTTTGCCAAGTTTGTTAGATCAAAGATGCTTCCTATGATCCAGGATAATAATTTAAAATGGCCAAGCAGGTATTCTGTGGACATTAATTTCCATGACTAGTGGAGAGCTCTGTCCTAAAGGTAATGTTTACATTAAAAGACTGATTCTGTTAACTGTGATTGATAAGCCTCCCAACATCATTAAGTAAGAGATAGCACTACCATGCACTAAAATGTCAAAAGTGTAACTAAATAATGAACTTGGCATAATGCTACAATGCTCACAGATTAATATTTACAGAAAGGAATAGTTTTATTCTGGGACCCTGCAGTTTGCAGTTAATCCACTATTATAATTTTCTTGGAAACGCTGGCTTAATCTAAGAGTGCTTAAAAACATAAAAAGAAAAAAATCCAGGTGTATTTGGATTGATTTATCAGTACAGATTGATTTTAAAAGTGCTGTGAGAAATACTTTCCCAAAGATCACTTACAATACATCGACTTAAAATACAGTTATCTAGTATCTATTACTTGTCCTGTATACCTTTTTTTGCAGTCTACTAGGACATCATACAGCAGTCTCAGAAGAGTATGCTTTTTCTCTGTGCCGAGATTCCAGTCAGAAATCCATTTTCGGACCTAGGTAGAATAGAAGTGAAAAAGAAGCATGGGGGAAAAGACTAAAACTGAAAATATTTCTCATTTTCTCTCAAGCAGAAAAGGATTGAAAAGATCTTGCACAGAGATTTCTCCTTTGGGTTCTCTGACTCTCAGGCTCCCCATGCAGAACCTGGAAGTTTTCCCATGAGAAGCCAGAAGTCTGTGCTCTCCATGTTACTTCCTAAATAAGGATCAGTGATTCTAATACATTCTGATTCGAGACCAAGGGACAAGAACTTGATGCCTCACTCCCGATCAAAGCTTCTCACTTCATTACTATGACACAAATCAGGCAGATACATCTAACTACGTTTAGCATCAGAAATGGAAAATAAATGGCAACTTGATTTAGATTCTGTAGACAGACTTTTAAAAGGTAAGAAATTCTGTATTCTGCATTTCTTATCTCACTAGGCTCTGGCAATTTATAACAGAGACAGTCCGTATCAACTCTTACTAATATTTAGTGAGATGCAACACAGTTAATACAAAGGCCAAAACCTGAAGCACCACATTAGTTACCTGATCTAGTTCAGTTGGAACGTACTGGATGGCACCACATGACGAAGCCACTTTAAGAAGGCTGCAGTACACTGTGTATCTCACAGGAGTGTTCTTGTCCATACCATGGAAGAGATTGCTCAGTCTAAACCACAAACAATGAACAACCGAGTTAAAGAGGTTTCAAAAAACATTACTGGAATGCACATAAATGTTTCTATTAACATGCGTGCTGGTACACACAAAGCACCTCAAAGCACCTGGTGGCACCTGTCCTCCGCGATGAATTGTAACAGTTTCCAGTTTTGTAACTGTTTCCAGCAAAGAAGCTGAAAACTGCATTTTAATTTTGTAATACCCAAACAAAGAAAGTATATTGGCACGTCTATTTTACAATAGGGGAAAAAAGAATGTAAAAAAAGAGTGCTTCCTGCAATGGAAAGACATATCTTGATAGACACCTCACACTTTGATTTAAAGACACACAAGATAATCCTTCAATATACCATTATATCCTTTGATACACCATTATATACCGTATATCTCCTGCGAGATACCATTGTCTCACTTTCCTCTGTATAATACTTACAGCTGCAATCTAAGAGATGGGCGCTCTCCTTCCCGAAATTTTACTAACTTCTCACACAGGCTTTCAATCAGTGCTTCCTGTTTGTCAGGTTCCAGGATAAGAAGCAAAGAGACTACACTGTTCATCACGCTCTCAACATCTGTGCAAAACAAAACATGCAGCTGTTTAAAACTGCAGGCAGCAATCAGCAGTAGCTATTTAGTGCTGGAGAGTTACTTCTGCTATGAATGATTAGTTTGCATCGGCAAGAACTGTAAAAGAGAGAAAATGCCAAGATAACCAATCTGGATATTCATCAATATGTACCAGAGATTTAGCTCGTGTGGTGTTTCACCACGTAAAGCAAGAATTACCACTCTGAGGTCAAAAAAGAATTTGGTATTTGATATCACGCTTGCTCTAAATTCTCTGTTCACACATAAGAGAAGTCAGAGGAACTTCAGGGTTTGGTCTTAAAAACACCAGTAACTTCCTCCTGCACATCCAGAAAACTGCCCCACGGTTCTATAGTGAGAATACTAACACCTACTGCTCAAGTACAGTACGGCATTTCACCAGGAGCACAAGGGATACCCAGATCACAAGGAAAATTCCCGCAAGAACAAAGTATATTCAAAAGCCTCCCCAGCTCCTGTTTTAAGCATGGTGTTCCATCCTTTCCAAACAGGACCAGACAGGTTTTCGGTTTTCTTTTCACAGTCTGCCCAAATACCAGTTACACAAAGGATAAGAACAAAATTCATTACATATGGAAAATACTATTTATTCCCCATAATGACATCTGAACATCAAACAGCAGAGCAATAAGCTTCATTTTCACTTCATATTTCATACTCATTTGCCTACAGTAAAAGGTAACATGAAAAATAAACTTAAGTACTCCTTCTTAGATGAACCACGCATTCTTTCAAACAACACATATTACTCACATTAGCAATTGATTTTTTACATGTAAAAGTTCTATATGGAATTTCTATATTGGTACAGGCACAGACAGATCATTTAAGGCTACTGCCGCATTATCAGTATCCTTAAAACACATTACTGCAGTTTCTAAGCATCTACAGCCCTACCTTGAAAAGAGTTACTGATTACTGAAAATCCTAGTGTTTTCAGACAATACTAATCAATTAATGTTTAGGCCTTAAAACTTCTACTTACAGATACCTGGTCCTAATTTTTGTTTTTACTTTAACTTTTCCTGATCTGCAGCATCACCTCTATTGATTGACGGTAAGTCTTATTTTTATCATACTTTTTATTCAGACAGAAAACCTGCTTTACATACAACTCATTATGCCCTCATAACAAGCACAGTCAAGCTCAATTTCCGACTTGTTCAAAGGGCGCTGGATGTTTGGAGGAATAGAGTACATGCAAATTTTACACAGCAATGATGGAAATAAGCACTTCCAGTTTTATAAAGATGCATGTGTTAACATGCAGGCCACGCAACATACCTCTAAATTCTGCCAACTGTTAACTGTTTGAAAGCATTGATAGCGATATGTTTAGCAAAACCAGCAAGACTTAAAGATGCAAACCTTTGTCATCCTCTTTCAGGCAAACATCACAAACTTCAATAATCTGCGCCAAGTCCACATGAAGTCCACCTTCGGCGTTTTCTTCAGAGATTTCTGCTCCTTTGGATTTCAGGTAAGCTCGAAGTTCTGCAGCCTTAAAAAAAAAAGACAACACACACAAAACAAAACAGTTGTTTTGCGAGCAGCAAAGTCAAAGTAATTAAATTTCTTACAGATTTTTGTTTTGCAACCATTCCTCTGCCGCCACCACTCACTCACACTTCCTCTCACTTCTCCCTACCACCCTGTATCCTACAACATTCCCTGTCCTTCACTTTAATGTACAACCCAAGCACCAACTCAGGGTAAGATGCTGCATATGCTATGGTGGCTTTGCCAGTAACCGAATAGATCACACAACTGTTGAGTTTTCTCACAGTATGAGCATGTCACTTACAACTGGTTAGAAGGCAGCACGTCTAGTAAGTTTTTATGACAAAGATACTTTCTTCTTATGAATTTTTATTATCTTTTATGCCCTTTGACAACTTCAGGCAAAACAATAAAACCATTCACCAGAAAAGAGTATAAACAAAACCACTTTAGAGAAGGCAGAACTTAACAGTCTTCACACAAGTTAAAGACAGTTCCCAATACAATGCTGTGACCTGCCTTACCTTGTTAAGATTTAAACTTACACTAAGAAAATACCTTTCCTCGTGACAACCGTATGCATTAACTTCACAATCCACGGTTTCAGCAGCAGAACCGTAACCGTTCAGAAACAATCGGTATGAGGCCATACAACTTTCAGCACAGCAGAACTCTGACCAGGATGCTACTGTCACACCAGGTGTAATTTACATCAAGTTCAACGTCAAATCATTATGGTACCACAAGACACAGCTAAATGCTCTAGGACTCTTTGCTGTACTGAAGATGTTTCAGACTAACTACTTGGTGGCGACTTACTAGACATCATGGTAAGCAAAAACTGGACTGAAGGCTAGTAGTTGCGTATGCATTTCTTGTAGATTTCCAAGTGTGTATAGATGCACCATTTAAAAGACACTGGGAACAACAAACCCTAAAATTCAAAAACAAAACAAAGAAGTAGCTCCAAGACAAAACGCACAGTTCCCACGCCTGTGGTATGCGAATCCTGCAAAACCAAGCTGCGTAAGTAATGCTCCAGCCCGCATCTGGACTAGTTTTCCCCTCCCGAAAAAAAGGTACTGCTGAGGAGAGATGAAAACAAAGGGAGGTGAAGAACTTTGAAGAGGAAACTGCAAACGCAGACTTATCTTTCAGTTTCCAGTTTCTTTAATTCGCCTGTTACATCTGCCTAGGAAACAGCCCGAACAAGTTTACGGAGAGCTACGCGGGGCCCGCGGCGAGCGCAGCGGCCTTCGGCAGGACAGGTACGCGCGCCCCCGT